GTTAAACTAAAAATTACACAACAGACAAGGTACAGCTACATTTGATACATGTACATTTTAAAATAAATGCAACAACGTTTATTGATTTCATGTGTATTGTTTTTTTTTTCAAAAAGACACATTTTTGCTATTCTTGTTAACAAATAGCTCTTTAAATCCGTGTTGATAATTTTTTCAACGCCCTCCGGCCTTCGCTTAAGCAGGTACGTACTTATAATTCAGTAGAGCAGTTCTGAGTATTGTATTCACCAAACTAGCTGCATAAGGTACCCTGAAATAATAAGAAACAGTAATCAACTACGCATAGATTACGATTTATGTTAAATAAATAAATGTATCAAAATAATTAATATATTCGCACCAGCTACAACTAGGTTTTACAGTTTAAGCCTCAAGGTATAGGCTTTAGAAGGTATGGTTCTCTCTACACAACTTCGATTTAAAAAGGCAGCACACGACCCCATATTCCAGCCAGGTTTATTTTCAGAATTTTGTAGATTTAGTAAATAACTGGAGTCGGCTGTTTTGGAGATAAGACTTGTCCTATCGAGAGTAAGCACATACGCGTGACCCACCCAGATTTATCCAAAGAAAATTTGGGGGAATGTTTTACTTCAAGGAGTGAGTTTAAAATTTGTCACGATAGATAAGCGCTGTTAATAAAGTGCGTATTCTAGCTTTTGCGTAAAGTTCGCAGGTTTTTGTTAAGCTGAAAAATAGTAAAATGTAGCTAACGTCAACATTTGAGTAGCAGCTAAAGTAGAATATATTAATTATCTAACCTTATGATATAATAGAATATTATGAGTCTAATAATGTGCAGTGTATTTACAAACAAAAAAACAGCTTATTTTTAAAAAGTCGTTTGCTTTGTAAAATTTTATTTGAATAAGAATTCAAATAATAACGATTGTTTATAACACAACATTTAATAAAACCAAAAGAGAATGTAGGAATTGTTAGAAAAGAAATCCAGTGTATCGTAACTCTAGAAGAAAAGATAAATATAAAAAAATCATCTCCAGTTTCTGATAAAAAATATCCGCCTTATTAATATCGATCGATTAACATTGCATATCAATTTACACTTACACGCTTTTTCCAGTCGAACACGGGTATCCTATTGAAATGGTTATACCAATAGTGATCCATTCGTCTGTCGCCTTATGGCGGCATATCAGAGGAGCTCCTTGGTCGCCCTAAATACAAATAAAAAGCTTTTGGAAACCAGCATATATTATATATATACATACATATATATATATAGGCCTATATATATATAGGCCTATATATATATATATATATAGGCCTATATATATACATATATATATATATATATATATATATATATATATATATATATATATATATATATATATATATATATATATATATATATATATATGTGTGTGTGTGTGTGTGTGTTTATGTTTGTATATATATATATATATATATATATATATATATATATATATATATATATATATATATATATATATATATATACATTAAAAACAACTAATTAATAAAGTTTTTTTTACTACTAAAATAATTTTTAAACATGGTTTTTTGAAAACATCTTACAAAACAAGGCCCAGTGTTGGCACCGAGTCCATCCTGCCTTGTGTACCTGATAGGTCCGTTAATGGTGTTTAAATTAAGTGTGACTTTAACTTCCTGCAGTGTTGGACTTGTGGATGGTAAAGCTAGGAATAAACAGATAAATAGATAAACTGTATTTTAAATATATATATATATATATATATATATATATATATATATATATATATATATATATATATATATATATATATATATATATATATATATATATATATATATATATATATATTCCACAGTAATGGAACAGTAATAAATAGATAAATAGATAAACAGTATCATATATATATATATATATATATATATATATATATATATATATATATATATATATTTTTATATATATATATATATATATATATATATATATATATATATATATATATATATTGAGTTGCACAGCAATGCGTATCTAGCAGTTCGATTTGTGGGTTTTTCTTCAGATTTTTTTTTTTAATTAATTAAAAAACGAATTAAGGAAATATGAAGTCACATTTTATTGACATAGGGTATCGACCCACTTGCCAAAGTTGAAAGGAATGGGTCCCTTAGAAGTGGTAAAAATGTTGCTATCAACGTGGGGCGCCGAAGTAAAAGTTATATTACTATTGATTAGATAATACTATTGACTTTTATTAGGGAGCTTGTAGAGAGTCAACAGTATTAGAATCTGTAAGAAAATCACGGCGCCCCACGTTTTTCATCGCTTATAGTAGAGTGAGCGCTTGCATTATTGTAATGTATAGCATTTATTTTCTACTTTTTAGTTCAATTAGAAAACGTGGGTTTTTAAAAACATTTTTTAATGATTATTATTTTCTACTTTTTAGTCTTTGTTTGTTTGTTTGCATTAAAATCTTACTATCGATTTTATCTTTTCACTTTTTTTTGGGTAAACGAAGACAACTCGTAAAAAACACGTTGTGTGAATATGTTACTGACTAGAACACATAGATTTGAACCCGCGCCGAGTGGGATAGCAATCGTGTACCCAACCACTCGACCATATCGTCTCCCCCATACTGGCCACCAGTTGTTACGTTCTGGTTGTTTGTACACAAACACCGCGTGAGAACTACTCAGTAAGCAAAAAGAGGGAGAGTACCGAACCTTGTTTTCATCAAATTACAGTTACTGGGTTATGTCCCTTTTTCCCCACGTTTTTTGTACAATTATATAGCGGTCTAAAATGATCAATAAAATGTTTCCATGGATCAATTTAGTAATAATAACAATTGAATATTCTATTGTCATCCAAAACAAAGCTTCCCTGAAAATTTCAGCGCGCTAGCTAACTGGGAAGTGCCAGCAATTTCGATCGCAAGATTTGATTGGAAAAACAAACAAACAAACAAACAGAGGCGAAAGCAAGTTAAAGAAAACGTGGGAAAAAACGGGAATAATACGAAGTAACATGTGTAGAATTTTGAAATACGAACAAAAAATCTATGTTAAAGGTGAATGAATAAAACAAAAAATGTATTATAAAAATTACTAAAATTATTGATTATTATTATAATTGAGATATAAAACATACATTCAGTTTTAGGCATACAACTCGAGAACAAATAGGCTACTTTAGTTTTCAAATTATTGCGACTATAGAGTAGACAGCGGTTGCGTTTGATGCATTATGACGGGTTATAGATGTTTATACTAAGTAAACAATTTAAGACTTGTTTTGCGAAGCCGATTGCCTATGGTCACTAAATAAATAAACCGGGAGTGATCTCCCCTAAACTTTTTCGAATATTCTTATATGACTTGAAATGTAGACATGATTTTTAATTACTTAAACTTTTAAAAATAGAATAGAATCTCATAGAAAAAAGAATTGCGCACCAAGCGAACGCCAAAACAAAATGTGCATAATAGTGCGCAATATAATTAGTACTTTATAAATTTACATGCGCTTTTTGAGAAATCGGAAATAGCGTAAATTAGTACTTCCTGTCAACGGAAATTACTCAAACTTTAACAGAAGGTAGAGAATTTGATCTTCTACTAACATGTGAAATTTCATTTATCTATCTGAAATAGTACTCAAGTTATAGGCTTTTGAAAAATTCAAAGTAGGAAAAGTACCACTTCCGGTTATCGGAAATCGCTCAAAAGTTGATACGGATCTACGATTTTGATAAAATACTTACATATGAAATTTCATCAACCCAGCTGTAACGGTACTCAGGTAATCGTGTTTATACACAGACAGACAGACACACACACACTCACACACACACACACAGAGACACACAGACAAGATTGCAAAATTATGTTTTTCCGTATCAGTGAGGTGTAAAACGTCGAGATTTGTAAAAACATCGATTTTTTTTTATTTTTGCACGATTACAATACTTTCTCTATACTTCGTATATACGAGAAAGTAAAAAGGACAGATTCATTTTAGAAGATCTTCAGGGAGGCTATTGGTATAAGGTGTGAGTATTTGTTGGTATGTGTAATTTAGTCCGGGTGAATGTTGGTACCGATATATAATGAACAAATGAAACTATAACGTGATATGTAAGTTAGCGACGTTTTATGTTGCTTGGGAGAAAAAGGATAATTTAGTTTCGTGTAGGTGCTTGAAACAAACGGAAGTTTATCTAGGTTGTTGAATAGAAAAGAAGTTTTGTCTTAATTGTCGACGGCTAAGGAAACCTTGAGTTTGTCTGGGTATTTTAAGAAAGAGATTGTCTCGTCTATGTGGTCTGAGAAACCTGATACAAGTATTTGAGAAGAAAGAAGCATTTATTATGCAACTCAACACAATTGTGTAAGCTTATAGAAGAATAAACTTCAGAATGAGCATAGGCACTCTGTCAATTGATTATTTGTATGGAAGTAAGGTTGGTTAAGTCAGCAGCCTCGCAAGTTTAGCACTTAAGTTCTAGCGGATCACATGCGGATTGGTTAACATTGGTCTAAACTACACAACATGCCAAACTTACTGTCAGCTGTATTACCATACCCCACAATCCTGCAATCTGTTTCGTCAATATCAGCCACGTAGAGATGGGTGTTGGGGACACAGGCCGGCTGGACACAGCGGTCATCAAAAGTGACAGGAGAACTCAAAGATATTGTGTACAGTTTTGTAAAGGTCCCAGCTGTAAATGATAGTTAAAAACAAATATTCTAGCCGTGTTTGGTTTACAAATTGTTGCAAAATGCAAAATCAATAACCGTTAAAAATCTTACTTGAGTTAAAACGTCATTGAAGTCAGTTCTGTCACCAGCAGTCGCTAACAACAAAGATACGCTATCAAAAATAAAAACTTCAAATTCTCGAAAGACACTTGCCAGAATACGACTAATGCCCGAATGGACACTTGCAAGTGTCTTTCGGGAAAACGTCAGGCTCCCGGATGTTTATTTTGTCATTAGTAAATTTAATTTTAAAATAATTTTAGATAACAGCACGACTCAAGACGTGCGTCTACTAATTGTAAATGTTAAGACTCACTCGTGTCCAGGTATTTAGCAGACGATACGATCAGGTAAGGTAAGTTAGTTGTCACGTCTGCCTGTTGGTAAGATCCAACCAAAGCGTACAGTGCTCCGGTATTGGGACTGTCGAGTTAAAGCAATAACATGGACATTTGCAATATTTCTCTTCTTAATAACTTACTTGCCAATTACTCAATTAAGTATCTACCAACGGAATATTAGTTATTTTAATGAAATCTTTACGATTTAGCCATTTACATTGAAATAGTCTACTTTTATCAGATGCTACCTAATTTACCCCAGCTTTATCTCATACAAAACGACTATACATTATCAATGTACACAGAAACTATCCAATGTTTTATTAACACACCAACTGCGTCTGTTTACCCATTGCGTTGCTTCGAAGAAAAGATATGTCTGGCATAGATAAGCACTGACGGTGTGTTCTGGTGGTAGAGATCTAGACTGCTAACCCGTAAGTCTCGAGTTCGAATTAACGTTCTAGTCCATTGACCGTCGATGAGTCCACCCAGCTCTGATGGGTACCTGACTCACGTTATGGAAAGTAAAGGACGTAGTGGTGACCACACTATCTCTTCATATGCCAGGTCTCAGAAACAAGTGAACTCTATTTCACTTGCCTCATAGGCTGTCAGGTTTGGAAGTGGAACTTTACTTTTTATATTGATAAGCACTGTGAGAAAGACTATAATGAAGGGTAGTTTCTTTGCAAAAAAAAAATTAACTTTTCCTCAAGTATTTTTACCTAGAATTACCGATCATTGATAAATTAAATTTCCAATCTTCTTTTTCGTTCTTTTAATGTTAGAAGGAATTTCCCCCTACACAATTAAGTATTACGTTTCAACGTGTTGTGCACCATATAAGCCGTTCACTCCGATTTCATCCTTCTTTTCTTCTCCGAATAGCTTCCATAACCTTTGTCCACCCAAGAACAGACTACAAAGTAGCAGTTGTTTGATTTTGGAGTTGTCTCTCCGAAATAGGATGCTGTCCCCAGCTATCGAGCCACATCAGCCCGGGGGTTCGAACTCCGGGCTTTTCTGTTTAGAAACCATGAGCTTGACCGACCTGACCCTTAAAATGTCCACTTAATTGTTTTCAGTTAGCAACTTGTTTTGATTAAATCAAATACGCACAGTAGTTAACCAATCTAATCGAAAACTTTCAACCAACAAAGTGATATCCGATCCACAAAACGTTGCCTTATATATTATTCTTATTTGAAAATGTATCACCTTACTTGTTTGCTATACTGAAACACAAACTGTCAATCAAAATAACGTCCTCCTCCAACAGCGTGCCCATACACTGGAAGACTTTACTTGCATTAAAAAGTCCGACAACACCCGGATACTCGCATTCTGTGAGAACATCAGAACCAGAGTACATTCTCTTGACTATTGCCCCAAGCTGGGCTGGTCTGTTCCTCGTGTAGTAGCACGTCTCTGGTGAAATAAACTTAACTGTAGTAGATGATTGTCTTAAGTTTGTTTAAATCTGTCTCTCAATGTCGGCATTTATTACCTGGCTGAGGTGTTGTGAAAGTAGTTGGACCTTCAGTTGTTGTAGTTGGTACTTCCTTGGTTGTGGGTGTTTCTGTTGTGACTGGAGTCGTAGGCCTTTCAGTGGTTGTAGGTGGAATGGTTGTTCTTGTTGTCGCTATTTTTGTCGACGTGGTGACACAAACACACAATGAGGTCAGTAAATCAACGCCGCCCTCCCTGCATTCTAAACATCAAAACACGAGGTGATGGTTAACAAATTAAACATTAATCAAAAAAAGATAATATAAGACGGCTTGGTCATGCGGTAGAGCGCTAAACTTCTAGCCCGAAAGTCTCGAGTTTGAATCCGGGTTCAAGTCAGTACAACGCCCCTGATTCCACCCAACTCTGATAAGCACCTAACTCATGCTAAGAAAAGTAAAGTAGCTTTAGCATAGTACTGATCACACTATCCCATCATATGCCGAGGTCATAGAATCAAGTGAACACTACTTCACTTGCCCCAAGGACCAGTATAATCGAAAAAATAACTTAATACTTTTAAAAAAAATTAAAAACAGATATTCGTAAAACTTAACATGTATTCGATTTATAACACGCATTAGCTTTCCACTCCTCAGAAGTCGAAATAACCACAATATTCACTGACTTATATCACAGAAATTATCATCTGTTTCTATAGGATAATCGTTCATGTCAGTTGGATCCTCGTCTTGGTCAGTTGGCTCTTGGTTTGATTCATGGGATGCCTCGCCTGATTGACTCGGTGCCTCGTCTGACTGGTTTGTTGCCTCGCCTTGATCCGTGAGGTCATACTGTGGGGGAATCATGCATGGCCCTCTCATGTTTCCTTCTGGAATTGTCAAGCATATTTTTTTTTTATTTCTTGTATACACATGTGCATAGGCAAAGATTTAGCATACAACTGTTTAGCTATATCAAGATATATTACTGAGTAATACTTACAGAAACTGTAGACTACATATTTGTTTTCGTTTCTAAGATTGCAAAGACAACCATAAAATAAGTATATTTTTTTTTCAAACGCAATAAAACTACTATAGATGCTCATTAATTCAATAGTAGTCGAAATAAAGGATAAGTAATACATTTTCAACTGTTTGGCTCTCGAGCAACTACTAATAGACACTGCTTAATTTTCACATAACTTCTCAAACGTTGTTACAGACACTCGTGGAACTGTTATCTGCCTTAACACACAAGAATACAATGACTTACTGCCACAGTTCCTGCTGTGTGTTAGAAGCCTGCACAGGCCTTTTAAGTGGAGTTCTGGAAATTAAAACAGCAACGTTATTGTTTATGAAAGATCTGGTATTTAATTTAGTTATCAGATTAAAGACTAACACTTCTTTCGTCTTTAGTTTTCTCTATTTAAGGTACATACTAAATTAGAACCAGTTTGATTACTAGCGAAAAGGTCTTGATTTCTGATCTAAGTCCGGACTCTGGACTGTAGGAAGTCATTGAGTCCACCCAGCTTTGATGAGTATCTGACTCATGTTGGGGAAAGTGCTTAATTTTTTTTTAAACTCGTGGCTTTTATCATAATTATTTTATGTACTTGACTGCGAACATGTTACACTGAAAATTATTGAATATGTAATTATTTACTTACTCAGATCGCAACATTCACATATTCACATGCTAACAGACACTGACAACTACTGACACTGTCAATACTTACTGCCACATAATGTACTGACAACTACTGACACTGTCAATACTCACTGCCACATCATATGATGACAACTACTGACACTGTCAATACTTACTGCCACATATCCCAGCATCCACCGACGTGTTCAGACAAAGAACAAGAGCAAGGACACCAAGCTGAATGTACGACAACACCATTTCAAACAAAGTTTATTAGCGGTCTGTATTGTTGCCCATGAAGTTTTCCTTTCTTATAGCACGTGTGCGTGTTATATAAGAAGAACCAATAGTCAACACAAACAGGTGTTCGATAGTTTGCTATGTCCCACCACATTCTACCCCCATCCCTGCCTCGATTGGTCCTTGGCAGAGGCGTAGCAAGAAGGGGGTTTATAGTGCCCCCCCCCCCCCCACCCCCACCAAAAAAAATGTTTTCGGAAAAGCAAGCTGTTTTTGTTTATTTATCTATTTTAAGTCGGGCAGTGTGTCCTATTGATAGAGAGTCCAAAAGTCGCAAGTTCGAATCCGGGTTCAAATTAGTATGACGTTCCTGAGTCCACCCAGCTCTGGTGGATACTTAGTTCAGGTATGGGAAACAAAATAGACTGGCTAGAGTGCTGACCACATGGTCCCCTTGCTTAGTGATGTTATTCAAAAAGATTAACTCTACTTCATCTGCCCCTAGTGTATTGTGCACGAATGAGAATAGATGATGATGATTTATTTTGTACATTAAAATAAATTATAATTGTAGTGGAAAATGTGCCTTAATTTTCAAGTGTGAGTAAATACATTTATTATGTTTGATTCTTTATATAATTATGTTGATGAAAAACAAATGGACAAAATGAAAATAAAAACGTCGACGCAAATTTACGTATTTATACCACGCTTTGCAAACCTGTCTACGCCGTCTTGTTTTTCGAAGGCAAAAACTAGCCTTCATTTTTATGAACAAACGAAACAAAACCAATTTATTTATTAAGTTATTGTCTTGTCTTTTTTTCCTTTTATATCCTATGTATCAACCTTCAGTCAAAAATACAATACAGCACGTTTTGATATGAGACAGTTTACAGGATAAATGGCTTGTTTTTGTTTGGTTTCACTCTCTCCCCTCTCGTGTCTCCACACCCGTACACACGTGGGAAATCATGTAGTGGGAAACAAAAACGCGTTCTACTTTTCAATTTAAAAAAAATTCAGGAGCTGGAAGCTGGTCGAGGGAAAACAAGGGGGGGGGGTGTTAGATGATAGATTATTGCAGGTCTATTGTTAGAAGTGTTTTTTATTCCCACGTTTTCTTTAACTTGCTTTCGTCTCTGTTTGTTTGTCTTTCCAATCAAATCTTGCGATCGAAATTTCTGGCACTTCCCAGTTAGCTAGCGCGCTGAAATTTTCAGGGAAGCTTTGTTTTGGATGACATAAGAATATTCAATTGTTATTATTACTAAATTGATCCATGGAAACATTTTATTGAGCATTTTAGACCGCTATATAATCTATATATATAATTCTCCTCTGCGAGCCATTAGAAAACAAGCTGCAAGCGCCTCCTTACAGTCCCCTCTCTTTCTCTCTATCATTATCACTACCACCCTACCCCACCCCCACATGGTCTGCTGAGCTGTGGTCACGTTAATGTTTACAAACCGTACAGCCAGGTTTAGTGACGGCTATTAGGGGCAGATAATTAAGTTTGAACCGACTTTAAACTTACAGGAGGTAACTAAGAGGAGGCTGCTTTCACGGGGGGGGGGGGGTGTAGTGTAGGGTCGGGGTTAGGGTAAAGGAGGGGGGTTAGTGTTTTAAAGAAAATATTTTCAGTGGCAGCATTGGTACTGTCGAATTCACAAATTATGAATTACTGAAAAGTAGAAAATAAATCAACTAAATTTGCGGCGTATGATACGCCGCGGGTCGGCTCGTTGTAGTAAAAACGTGGGGAAAAAGGGACATAACCCAGTAACTGTAATTTGTGTATAAACAACCGTAACAACTGGTGGCCAGTATGGGGGAGACGATATGGTCGAGTGGTTGGGCACACGATTGCTATCCCACTCGACCAGAGTTTCTTCCAGGCATCTCTTCGGGGGGGGCTTTGCCCCCCCCCCCCCCCCGAAAAAATTTTACCGCCCCCCCCCCCCCCCCGAACGAAATGAAATTTATATAATTTATATAGAAAATATATACTTTTAACAGTGTCCGCCCCCCCGAAGAAAGTTTACCGCCCCCCCCCCCCGAAAATTTCAAGAGCCCCCCCGGAGAAAAAAGTCTGGAAGAAACACTGCACTCGACACGGGTTCAAATCTATGTGTTCTAGTCAGTAACGTATTCACACAATTGTTTTTTACGAGTTGTCTTTTTACGAGTTGTCTTTTTACGAGTTGTCTTCGTTTACCCAAAAAAAAGTAAAAAGATAAAATCGATAGCAAGATTTTAATGCAAACAAACAGACAAAGACTAAAAAGTAAAAAATAATAATCATTAAAAAAGTTTTTAAAAACCCACGTTTTCTGATTGAACTAAAAAGTATAAAATAAGTGCTATACATCGCAATAATGCAAGCGATCACTCTACTATAAGCGATCAAAAACGTGGGGCGCCGTGATTTTCTTACAGTTTCTAATACTGTTGACTCTCTACAAGCTCCCTAATAAAAGTCAATAGTATTATCTAATCAATAGTAATATAACTTTTACTTCGGCGCCCCACGTTTTTCATCGCTTATAGTAGAGTGATCGCTTGCATTATTGTGATGTATAGCACTTATTTTCTACTTTTTAGTTCAATCAGAAAACGTGGGTTTTTTAAAACTTTTTTAATGATTATTATTGCAAGTCTGCCTAGTCCAAGTCTACCTAGTCCAAGCCTAACTAGTGCAAATCTATCTACTGCAAATCTATTTAGTGCAAATCTATCTAGTGCAAATCTATCTAGTCCAAATCTACCTAGTCCAAGTCTACCTTACCGAATGAGTCTCCTTAGCATCGCTCCTTTTCCCTTTTCAGGAAACAAAATGGTGCAATAATATTTCTTCAAAATTAATTATCAATTCGTATTAATGATTATATTTTGTCGATCTATCCGGTGGGCTACTTAAAGACTTTTATAAATTATACATGCCCTTTGAATAAATCGCGTAAAATGACCGTTGCTACATATTAGGTTTTCAATGTTGGGTATGTCATTGATTTCTTTTAAATCTGTCGTATGGGTCCAATGCAATGCTCTGCCCTAGGATCACGAGATCGTTCAAGCTGTTCTCGATTGTGATCGAATTATACTTGTCTGCGCTAGGTGAACTTTCAGTAATCAAAACATATCTTGACTAATACTGAAGCAGACATGTTATAGAAAGGCACAAGCTAGTTGTTGTCTGTGTGAGCGGGTGAAAGGATTTGTTGTTTTCAATGTTGTGAATTGTTTATTATGTGTTTAATTGTAATTTTGTACATAGTATTGCATGTTACCCGCGTGGTATGGACTTCCTGCCGGTCTATAGCTATTTAATCCGTTACACTCGGATAGTCATACCAGCATAAAGTTTTGGTAAGGTTACACCTAACTCTGTTTATTTTTTACTTTTTAGGGCATTTTTTTTTTCATTTGTGATTGTGTGTGATTTGAAAATATAATAAAGCTTTTTTCCTTTAATTTTTATTTGATGTTTATGTGAGATTAATTCTCAGTGGCGTAGCGAGGTCGGGTTTCACCCAGTGCGGCACTTAATGGTGTCACCCCTCCCCTCCCAGAGGCGTAGCGACCCTTCCTGAGGACAAGCTTTCAACTTTCGATTTGCACCCCCCCCCCCCCTCAAACTTTCGATTTGCACCTCTTAAAACACTATTTAACACTCGAATTAATCAATTAATTAATTATGTGGAATTATCATTTTTCTCTATATATTTTGCTATTTTTTGCCTTGGTGCCACCCCCCCCCCCTAAATAGTGGCACCCGGTGCAGTGAGCACCCCCCCCCCCCCCCGCACCCCCCCCCCTTTCCAATGGAAGCTATTTAAAGCACGCTAGATTGTTAAACTCTTTATTTAAACTTGATAAATTGTGTTTTTTTTTTGTGTCCGTTAAATTGGAGTAGAACGCTTTCTTATTTGCTCCTCACAGTTAATGTAATTAAAAACTATTTAAAATTGCGTAAGTCGTAGTTCGGGCATGACGGTTGTTAAATTAATAATTACACAACAGACAAGGTAACAGTTCGTTATTATTTTCGAAAAATGCAACAACTTTTATTCATTTCATTCGCAGTGTTGCTTTTTCAAAAAGACACATTTTTGTCATTCTTGTTACAAGCTTTCTAAACCCATGTTCTAGATCTTTTCTTCAACGCCGCCGGCCTTCGCCTAAGCAGGTACGTACTTATAATTCAGTAGAGCTGCCCTGAATACTTGATTCACCAAACTAGCTGCTGAAGGAACCCTGAAATAATAAGAAACAGTAATCAACTACGCATAGATTTTGATTTATTTTATTTTTATATAAATGTATCAAAATAATTAATACGAGCTGACCCGCGACATACCATAAGCCGCTATTTAGTTGTTTTAATTTTTATTTTTCAGTAATTCATAATTTTTTAATTCGACACTACCAATGCTGCGACTGAAACTATTTAGCTTTAAAACACTATCAGTAGGTAGTAAAGGACGATTATCCTCACCCTCAAGTTCCACTCCTCTCCCATTCCCCGCCCCCGTGAAAGCAGCCGTCCGTGACGACAGTTTACAGACGACAATGAAAAGATTAAGCAGAACTTGTAATTATCTACCCTTAGTTTAAAATCGTTTAAAAACTAAATTATCTGCCCCTAATAGCCTTCACTAAATCGACCCGGCACTCCGATTGTAAACAGCTCACCAAACTGGTGGGGATGGGGACGGTAGCGAAATGGTCTGTTGAGCCCATGTCATGGTGGTTTCCCGCATGGTCCGTCCATGAAGAGAATTATATATACAAGCTGAGCCGCAACGTAGCATACGCCGCTACCTAGTTGTTTTATTTTCTGCTTATTAGCAATTCATTAATTCATTTGTGAATTCGACATACCCCCCCCCCCTCCGCCCAGTGAAAACAGCCGTTTACAGATGACAATGAAAATATCAAGCAGATCTCTTTAGCTCCGCTTGGTTTCAATTCGTTTAGATACTAAATAATCTGCCCCTAATAGCCGTCACTAATATTCAACCCGGCTTTACGATTGTAAACATTCGTCGTGAACCACAGCTCACCAGACTAATGGGTGGGGGTTCAAGCGATATGCCTAGAGAGATGGGGTATGAACGGCTAAGCCCTTACGTGTTGGTGTCTCGTATGGTCCCAACGTAGTGAATTATATACATAGATAGATGTCTGCGCCAGCTGCATACTAGGTTTTACATTTTAAGCTTCAAGAATTAAGCTTTGAAAGGTATGTTTCTCTGTACACAAAATCGTTTTAAAAAGACAGCACACGGCCACTTATTCCAGGCTTGTTTATTTTCAGAATTGTGTACATTTAGTTATCAACTGGAGTTGTCTATCTCGGAGATATGAATTGTCGGATCGAGAGTAGGCACATTCGCATGACCCACTTTACTTAGATTTAGCCATCTAATAATTGGACCTTTCGCGTTGTAAAGTTAATACGGGGAATGTTTTACTTCAGAAAGTGAGTTTAAAATTTGTCACGATAGATAAGCACCAGCATCGCTGAAAACAAAGTTGTATTATAGCTTTTGCGTAAAGTTCGCAGTTTTTTAGCTGAAAAATAGTATAAGGTAGTTATAAAGTATAAATTCAGCATTTGAGCAGCAGCTAAAGTAGAATATATTAAGTATCTTATTTTCTTATATCATAGAGTATTGTGAGCAATGTTTCTTTCAGACTTTTTCTCCGGTGGGTGGAGGGGGCTGACACTGGTAAAAGTATAAATTGTTTACATAAATTATGTTTTGTTCGAATGGGGTTGGGGGACTCCGCCCCCAAGAGACGCCTGAAAGAACCTCTGATTTTGATGCTAATAATGTGTAGTTTATTTACATAAAATCACAGCTTTTTTAAAAAAGTCACATGCAGTGTTAAATTTTTTTGAAAAAGATTTCAAATAATAACGATTGATTACAAACAAATTATTTCATTAAACGTAAAGAGAGTACAGAAATTATTAGAAAATAAATTCAATGTATCGTAACCAGTGTTTCTTCCAGACTTTTTTCTCCGGGGGGGGGGGAAGACTTGATATTTTCGAGGGGGCAGGGGGTGGGGGGGGGGCGAAAAATAATTTCCGGGGGGGGGGGGGGAGGCAGACACTGGTAAAAGTATAAGTTTTCTAAATAAACTCCATTTCTTTCAAGGGGGAGGGGGGGGGGGAGCGTGAAGAGTTGCCTGGGAGATACTCTGATCGTTACTCTAAAAGAAAATATAAATACAAAAATTATCTCCAGTTTTTTATCCAAAATATTCACCACGTATAATATTGGTCGATAGACATTGCCTATATATTTACACTTACACGCTTTTTCCAGTAGAACACGGGTATCCTATTGAAATGGTTATACCAATAGTGATCCATTCGTCTGTCACCTTATGGCGGCAAATCAGAGGAGCTCCATTGTCGTTCTAAATACAAATAAAAAGCGTTTGGACCAGCATATATATAAATAAATAAATAAATAAATAAATAAATAAATATATATATATATATATATATATATATATATATATATATATATATATATATATATATATATATATATATATATATATATATATACAAAATACATTACTACACCTTTCATCCGAGTCATCCGATCGCCATAAAACGTTATATATATATATATATATATATATATATATATATATATATATATATATATATATATTTATATTTATATTTATATTTATATATATATATATATATATATATATATATATATATATATATATATATATATATATATATATATATATATATATATATATATATATACAAAATACATTACTACACCTTTCATCCGATCGCCATAAAACGTTAGGAAGTTGTTGAGAATACACCTGGGAAGGATTCTGCGAAAAAAATTCAACTTTCGCGGGAGTGGCGCAACAGCAGGACGCGATTTGCATGTTCTTTATTTACGGTATTCTAATATAAAAGTCCAGTGCGCAACTCTCTCTCTCTCTCTCTCTCTCTCTCTCTCTCTCTCTCTCTCTCTCTCTCTCTCTCTCTCTCTCTCACTCTCTTTCTCTCTCTCTCTCTCTCTCTGTTCAAAAATATTTTCACATGTTATCATATCAGTATCTTCAGCGATATATGGAGAACTTGATACGGACTTTTGTTGAAAATAATATGTTTTTAAATGTTTAAAACATAAAGGCATATTCGAATTTAGAAAAACAATTTTAATTATGCAACCGGAAAAGTTGTGAAAAGAACGCGATTAACAATGACGTCACAAGTGTTTACACTAAGGAAAGAATACAACACTAATGGCGACATCTTCTGATTTTAGAATATAAAGAAATAAACTATTTAATTCACGTTTCATTTAGATCTACGTACGCTATGAAATGTATACAATACAATACAGTACTAAACTATTTCAGGCCTTAATTAATTTGTTGATTTGTTTGTTAACTATGGAAAGGGCTAATTTGGAATAAATTTTAATTTTAAAGAATATGGCCTATTCGCGTAAGTTAAGTTTCTTGAGTACCTCTTTTATTCTTCGTCAGATCCATTGTGTTTAAATAGCTGAGATGATAGTGTAATTAATACCATGCGGGTGGTATGTGTTCGAGATACTCAAAGTCAATCTTAAATATTTGTTTTTTCAATTCGTTTTTTATATGTGAATGATAAAGTTGCCTATCGGGACTTTGCGGGACACGGGGTAGGTGAAGTAGAGTTCACCTGTTTTTGTCTTTTCAGCATCTGAAGGGATAGTGTGGTCAGACCCATGCTTAGCCGAAATATTTGTTTTTAAAAGACAAAAACATACATAACTACCATTGAACAGCCGGGTTTTTAACGAAATCTTTGAAGTCTCTTAATTTTAAGTCTCTTATTCAGCGAGTGCATTTAATATGGTATTGTGTTGACTAAAACTGTATACAAATTGGTTTTAATTTTTCAAATAGGTATTGGTAGTCAATGTTATTTTAAACAAGTATAAGCATAGACAGTACATAAAACAATTTTTTTTTATCATAATCTTAACAATGTTTCATTCCAATGCTCTTGATCAATAAAATATTTCTTTTCCTAGGTTTCCGATAACGACTTTTTAAAAAGCTGAATTACAATTCTTTTCATTACTCACTTTCCGTAGGTATATACATTTTCTTTAGGTATCTCTACCGTTTCTTCCCCTTTCACCTCCGAACGAAATTGAATAAAGTAATTCATATCAAATTATAGATAAACCAGTTTCCGCAACCCCCCCCCCCCCCCACGCACACACAACACCCACACCCTCCTCCTGACAGTTTTAAATGCCGCTCCCTGGAGATAAATATCTAAATGAAAAACCGGGTAGCCTTTTGTAAAGAGAAGAGAGTTAAAAGTCACCAGAATTGCCCGTGTAACGGGTACCGATGCCTAGTATAATAATAAAAGTCGCAGGATGTGATTTGGCGCCCTGGTCTTTCCAGTGAGCAATATGGTGACTACTTTCATTCTAAGCAGTGTGATAGACAATGGATAAGATGGGGCATTACAGTCGCTCACTAAATTGAATCAGGCGTGTCCACCGGCGCGCTGGTAGCGTGCGATTTGGCTGCGAACTAAAATTTCAGTTTCGGCCCACAAAGGCTCACACAGGCAGCTGAGGGCCATGTAATACATTTTTTTTAAATCAGAAAAATTAAACAAGGTTAAATTATTAACTGTGTTGTTTCCTTTTGTTCGTAAAAAAAGTCCAAACAGTTTCGTCACTTTGCGAATGATGCCATTAGCATCTATTTTTAAACGATCCAATTAGAAATTGAGATAGAGTTTCTAATAATAGACCATTAGTAACGCTAAAAAATTGCATCAGTCACAATGATGTTTATAACACGTCAAATATTCTATTTTCTACATGTTAAAGAAAAAAATCCTGTTAATTTGTGTAACATTAGCGAATGACGCAATCTGCACCATTGTTTCAGGATGCTATTTGGGTTATCCTGTGAGCACTATGGCGTTTATGTTAGTTTTAAGGAGCCAGGGGCCGTGCGCGGCGCCTCTGCGGTAATGTAATCGGGGGACTCCCGACAGCGCCCCTCTACGTCCTTGACACATGGGCGGTCACTTAAGTGTGTTCTACCTCATTACTTCGGTGAGTGTTTAACGTAGACACAAGGTTTCATGCGGTAGTGTAGGCAACCCCGTGTCCCAATATTTTATGATCCAAGCGCAGGGCATTATTTACATTTAAATAACTCAATTTTAGAAAACAAGTTCACGCGTCTAAGAATATAGCATTGGTAACGCCTTGATAAAACCTTCTTATATATTTCGTCAGACTTTCTCCTATTCCAACGGTAACGCTGGTATATATATATATATATATATATATATATATATATATATATATATATAAATATATATATATATATATATATATATATATATATATATATATATATATATATATACATATACATATACATATATCAGATAAAGGTACTTAATTGCTAAAGAGTATTTTACTACGAAAATAATTTTAAAAACATCTTACAACACAAGGCCCAGTTTTGGCACCGAGACCATCCTGCCTAGTGTACTTGATAGGTCCGTTAATGGTGTTTAAATTAAGTGTAACTTTAACTTCCTTCAGCGTTGGACTTGTCGATAGTGCAGCTAGGAATAGGAATAAAATGATAAAAAAAAAAACTATAAGTAGTTACAAAAAATTTAATTATACATCGTTATTAAAGGAAAATTTAATTTAAAATATCGTTCCAGCTTCTTTTTCTGTAACACAGATCAAGCATTATTGTACAAAACAAAAAACGGGACATTTTACAAACCTATTCCCTATATTCGAAAATATACTTTCTTTTTAAACCCACCCATTATATTATTTATTGTTTTCCGTAGGAGCTTTGACAAATTATTCATTCAATCAATTTTTTTTTAAATAGAAAAATCTAATAAATTAACCGATAACGTGATGATTTGCACCACTCACTACTTCCATTTAAAACAGTAGAACAAAAATGATTAACCAAAATATATCCATTTTTTTGTTATGCAACATATTCTCTATCAGTAATTTAGAAAATGTTCGATTAGTGAGGTTTTTTTTTTCCTTAAAAATTAATTAAACATCATATTAAGTAACATTTGAAGTAACACTTTATTGTTTCCGGATTTTGACCCGCGTGCCAAAGTTGAAAGAAATTAGTTAAAAGTGGTCGAAATTTCGTTATCAACAACTAGTTAACAGCTTACACATGTTAGGAATTCAACCACATAAGCAGTAAAATATTTGTATGGTTACTAACTACGATAAAATGACAAAATTGAATGAATGTTTACTGTTTAAAAAGCGGGAATAGAGTATGTGCTTGCGAATTTCATACAGCCCGCGGGTCGGACAACCTATAACGAGACAATGTAGTAAACTTACTGCCATCAGCTGTATTACCATACCCCACAATCCTGCAATCTGTGTCGTCAATGTCCGCCACGTTAAGATGGGAGTTGGGGACACAGGCCGGCTGGACACAGCTCTCATTAAAGGTGAAAGGAGAACTCAGATTTACAGTGTATAGCTTCATGTTGGTCATAGCTGTGGAGAACGAAACAGTATTTAACAATAATACATTGAACAGGCTTTTTGAAAATGTAGGCTAGTTGACTGGATGAGCTAGACGTAGTGTGTTTAATACAAATATCTCATCCGCTTTGATAGACGAATATAATGGAAGGCTTATTTTTAGTACGTTTGGGCTTATACTTTAAGCCTGTATTGTTACCAGGACCGCTGTTTGACTTCGGTCTTACACATGATCTAAACCCTGGCCATTACCTAAATCGCCTATTCTGACCCAAATTCAAACCAATACCACCACACACAAAAAAAATGAAACATGAAAAACTGCAGGTTTTAAAATTTCACCATTAGAGTTTCAAGTGGGAGAGGGGAGCGATATGTGTGTGGTGAGCACCAGTTGAATTTATTTATGGGTGGTGACAACAAGGTGAATGATTGCAAAATATAAACGTATTAAAGTTAACTTTTATTAGCTTGGTAAATAGCTAATTAGAGTTAACTATACTTTTAAATACATATTGAAACCTCTCGACTAAAGGGTGTGGTAAAGGGTAACACTACGGCAGAAACCTTTTCTTTACGCAGGAGAGCTGTGAAGGAAAGGTGACACTGAAAGTAAAAGCTACTGGAAATAATATCATAAATTTGCATACATTCCGACAGGCCAACACAGGCTCCCGGTCAAAAACCCCCTGGACATAAACCCCCTGGACAAAAAACCCCCGCGACATAAACCCCCTGGGCAAAAACCCCCCGCGACATAAACCCCCTGGACAAAAACCCCCCACGACATTAACCCCCCGGATAATAACCCCCGGACTGAGGTTTATATAAAGATGATGTGAACCGAAAAATAAATAAACCGGGAGTGATCTCCCCTAAACTTTCTCGAATATTCTTATATAAAATAACAGGGGATGGGAACTCAGGCTATAGACATGATTTTTAATCCATTTTAAATACTTAAAGTTTTAAAAATAGAATAAAATCTCGTAGACAAATTAATTGCACACCAAGTGAACGCCAAATAAAAAAGTGCATAATAGTGCGCAATATTATTAGTACTTTAAAAAATTACAATTTTTACTTTCTCGTATATACGTAGTATAGAGAAAGTATTGTAATCGTGCAAAAAAAAAATCGAGATTTTTACAAATCTCGACGTTTTACACCTCACTGATACGGAAAAACATAGTTTTGCAATCTTGTCCGTATGTCTGAGTGTGTGTCTGTGTGTCTGTGTGTCTGTGTGTCCGTGTGTAAACACGATAACTTGAGTACCGTTACAGCTAGGTTGATGAAATTTCACATATAAGTATTATATCAAAATCGTAGATCCGTATCAACTTTTGAGCGATTTCCGACAACCGGAATTGGTACTTTTTCTACTTTGAATTTTTCAAAAGCCTATAACTTGAGTACTATTTCAGATAGATACATGAAATTTCACATGTAAGTAAAAGATCTAATTCTCTACCTTCTGTTAAATTTTGAGTAATTTCCGTTGACCGGAAGTAGTAATTTACGCTACTTCCGATTTCTCAAAAAACTAATGTAAATTTTAAAAGTACTAATAATATTGCGCACTATTATGCGCTTTTTTTATTTGGCGTTCACTTGGTGTGCAATTAATTTGTCTACGAGATTTTCTTCTATTTTTAAAACTTTAAGTATTTAAAATGGATTAAAAATCATGTCTATAGCCCGAGTTCCCATCCCCTGTTATTTTATATAAAAATATTCGAGAAAGTTTAGGGGAGATCACTCCCGGTTTATTTTTTTGTTGAGAAATTGGAAGTAGCGTAAATTACTACTTCCGGTCAACGGAAATTACTCAAACTTTAACAGAAGGTAGAGAATTAGATCTTTTACTTACATGTGAAATTTCATTTATCTTTCTGAAATAGTACTCAAGTTATAGGCTTTTGAAAAATTCAAAGTAGGAAAAGTACCATTTCCGGTTATCGGAAATCGCTCAAAAGTTGATACGGATCTACGATTTTGATAAAATACTTATATATGAAATTTCATCAACCTAGCTGTAACGGTACTCAAGTTATTGTGTTTACACACGGACACAAAGACAGACAGACAGACAGACATACGGACAAGATTGCAAAATTATGTTTTTCCGTATCAGTGAGGTGTAAAACGTCGAGATTTGTAAAAATCTCGATTTTTTTTTTTGCACGATTACAAGACTTTCTCTATACTTCGTATATACGAGAAAGTAAAAAATTACATTAAATTAATTTAATTTTTTACGACTAAGAAAATAGTTTCTACCTAAGAAAATGCTATTCGAAATCAAGGAGTGACCTTAGTTGTATTTGATCAAAGATCGGGCACCGACAACACCTTAGATATAAAGAAGCATGGTATAAATACGACATCAAATTTTTTCTCCACAAATCGTATAATTTCTGGAATGGAGTTCGTTCAATCCAATAAAGGCAATTTAAAGGTGATTTTTGAAGGCTATGTTTATGGACAACAATTTCTTCTGTTCGATTTGGTGCCAAATCAAAAGGTATGATGTTTTTGTTTGGAACCAAGGACAACCTTAGGTAATTGGAGGTTAATCAGCACTGGTTTATGGATGGTACATTCAAAACAGCTCCTGCATTGTTTTCACAACTGTACACACTCCATGCATTGGTCAATGGACGGACTATTCCCTGTGTTTATGCCTTACTTCAAAACAAAACACAGGAAACATACACAGCCCTCTTACAGCAGCTAACGGTCTTAAACACAAACCTGCAACCAATTTCTATTATGATTGACTTTGAAATGGCTGTGACAAAAAGTGTTGAAAGGGTATTTCCAGAGTGTGAGGTCAAAGGATGTTTCTTCCATCTTAGCCAAAATATATACAAAAAAATTCAGGGCTCTGGCCTTCAACAACTCTACCAAGTTGATAGTGAATTTGCTCTCAAGCTCAGAATGCTACCTGCGTTGGCTTTTGTTCCGATTGAACACATGAGTTCTGCCTTTGAAAAATTATTGGAAATTTTCCCCCAAGAAGCAATGCCAATTGCAGACTATTTCGAGGACTAGTATATTGGCAGAACACAACGTCGAGGTCGGAGACAACCTATGTTTCCACTTGATATGTGGAACATGCACACACGTTCAGAAGACCAAATGCCAAAAACAAACAACTCAGTTGAAGGCTGGCACAGAAGTTTCCAGTCGAATATGGGATGTTGCCACCCAAATATTTGGAAATTCATTGACTTTATTAAAAAGGAACAATCGCTCCAAGAGGTTTATTGTACACAGAGATTAATTCAGGTCACTGTTTACCAAAACAAAACAAAAATATATTTTAACTGTTGTTAAAAATTTTAATGAGTCCACCATTATTGAGTATTTGCGGGGCATCGCGCAGAATCTGTCTTTTTACTTTCTCGTATATACGTAGTATAGAGAAAGTATTGTAATCGTGCAAAAAAAAAAATCGAGATTTTTACAAATCTCGACGTTTTACACCTCACTGATACGGAAAAACATAATTTTGCAATCTTGTCCGTATGTCTGTGTGTGTGTGTGTCTGTGTGTGTGTCTGTCCGTGTGTAAACACGATAACTTGAGTACCGTTACAGCTAGGTTGATGAAATTTCATATATAAGTATTTTATCAAAATCGTAGATCCGTATCAACTTTTGAGCGATTTCCGATAACCGGAAGTGGTACTTTTCCTACTTTGAATTTTTCAAAAGCCTATAACTTGAGTACTATTTCAGATAGATAAATGAAATTTCACATGTAAGTAAAAGATCTAATTCTCTACCTTCTGTTAAATTTTGAGTAATTTCCGTTGACTGGAAGTAGTAATTTACACTACTTCCGATTTCTCAAAAAACTAATGTAAATTTTTAAAGTACTAATAATATTGCGCACTATTATACGCGTTTTTATTCGGCGTTTGCTTAGTGCGCAATGTTTTTTTTTATGAGATTCTATTCTATTTTTAAAAGTTTAAGTATTTAAAATGGATTAAAAATCATAACTATATCCCCAGTTACCATCCCCTGTTGTTTTATATAAGAATATTCGAGAAAGTTTAGGGGAGATCACTACCGGTTTATTAAAGTTATAATAAAACACTGATTTTTTTCTAATTTTTTTTTTTGCTTTTAATTATTAATTCTGGTTCTCATCATCTTTGGATTTTCCTTATATAAACTTCAATTGGGGGGGTTTTTGTCCAGGGGGTATATATCGCGGGGTTTTTTTTGTCCAGGGGGCTTATATCGCGGGGGGTTTTTGTCCAGGGGGTTCATGTCGGGGGGTTTTTGACCGGACACCCAGAACACATTCAGGATTTAATACCATCTGTAAAAGGTTTTCAAATTTTATAGACATATATATATATATATATATATATATATATATATATATATATATATATATATATATATATATATATATATATATATATATATATATATCAATACTAATAGTTTCGCTGTCTGTCTATCTGACAAGAACGCTCTAGAGAAAACACAAGCAATTTAAAAACATGCACAGTAATTCGAAAAACGAAATATGACGTCGACACATTTAGCGTAGAGTAGAACATAATCTCAAACCAGAGAGTGCACACAGTAATGTAATGACGTCATTGATTATCGCGTAAACATTGAAAAAAAGGAAATGTCTAATCTAAATGGTTTGTGTGAAGAGTTTCTTGCATACAATTCTTCGGGTAGGGGCGAAGCCCCACCCTCCGCGTAAGAACGTCTGAGCCCCCCCCCTCCCCAACTCAAAAGAAATTTCCTCATCGATACTCTATAATAAAATTACCGCTTAATTAATGTGTCTAATCTAAAAAGTGGTTTTCTTGCAATGGGACGGTAGACGTTTTTTTTTTTTGGGGGGGGGGGGGGGGTGGAGGGGTGGTGTGTGGGGGTGGGGGGGGGGACTTTTTCCTCCCCGGAGAGGGGTGGGGGGTACTTGAAATTTTCGGGGGCGGGGGTAGAATTTTCTGGGAGGGGGCGGACACTGGAAAAAGTATATAATTATATTTCGTTGAATGGGACGGTAGACATGTTTTTTTGGGGGGTGGGGGGTGGTGGAGGGGTGGGGGGGGGTGGTGTGTGGGGTGGGGGGGGGGGGGTGGGGGGGGGGGGGTGGGGGTGGTGTGTGGGGGGGTGGGTTGGTTTCAGTGTTTCTTTCAGACTTTTTCCTCCCCAGAGAGGGGTGGGGGTACTTGAAATTTTCGGGGGCGGGGGTAGAATTTTCTGGGAGGGGGCGGACACTGGAAAAAGTATATAATTATATTTCGTTGAATGGGACGGTAGACATGTTTTTTTTGGGGGGGGGGTGGGGGGTGGGGGCCGGTGTGTGGAGGGGGTGGTGTGTGGGGGTGAGGGGTGGTGTGTGGTGGGGGGTGGGGGTGGTGTGTGGGGGTGGTGTGTGGGGGGGTGGGTTGGTTTTAGTTTAGAGAAAAGAGACAGCACTATCAGCCTAGCGCCCGTTGTACCCTTCCTCAACGGGCCATTTTTCTCGTATATATATATGTATAAAGATATATATATAGATATATATATATATATATACTTTTCTTTGGGGTGAAGTGCCGACTGGGTGACACTGTACCTATTGGCGTCATTAAAACGCACTACAATTAAGAAGAGAATCACAATTTTTTTTATATATATATAATATATATATAATATATATCATATATACGTATTTTAGTAAAAGCTTGGGCTAACCAAGAAATCTTTTTTGTTAAAAAAAAGTGCAGATGACTAACTTGTATCTAGATATGCTGCAGAAGATACGACGAGTGAAGGCAAGTCAGTTGGCACATCAGGCTGTTGATAGGATCCCACGTGAGCATAAACTGTACCTGCTTTAGCGCTGTGGAAATGGAACACCGAATAAATTAGTCCAGTTTTTTTCTTTATAAATATAAACGGAATTAGCGGATCTAAGGCTGACTGCCCACACCCCATGCACAAAATAGATAAGAGTAGATGCTAAATATTTTAAGAATTATACCAACAAATTGGCAAAAAGAATGGTTAGACATACTCAGAGGCGTAGCGAGGGGGGGGGGGCGGGGGGGGGGGGTGCGGACCGCACCGGGAGACAACATTTAGGGGGGTGACACCAAGGCAAAAAAGAGCAAAATATATAGAGAGGAGGGGGGTGCAAATCGAAAGTTCGAGTGGGGGGATGCAAACCGAAAATTTGAAAGTTTGTCCCAGGGAAGGGTCGCTACGCCTCTGGGGGGGGGGTGACACCATTAAGTGCCGCACCGGGTGACACTCGACCTCGCTACGCCACTGGACATACTAACAGCGACTTTTACTTAGAAAAACGAGCAAACCACTTTGCACGGTAACACAATTTATTCTGAAGTTATTAAATAAAGAGAAGTACTGAACGGCAGATATATGCTACTTCTCATATTGCATTGTAAAATAATAATTCGTTACTCTAGGTGAACAGTTTGTCTTTTTGTGTCAACCCCCCACCCCTTCTAATGTCTGTTTAATGGTATATTTTCATTGCAGTTGTCATGAGCGTTGAGGGCGGTTTCCTCAAGCTAGGAACGGAACATGTTGTATTTAAACAACTATAAGCTAGACGTGAGTTTTCAATTCTTCACGAAAAACAGCTCTCATCGCAGAGAGATGGAAGAAATACAGGCTACTGGCAAGACCTGGCATGAACTAAAGTGGCTCGCCCAGGACAGAGTGGAATGGCGGAGATTTGTTGTTGCCCTATACTCCACAGGGAGTGATGAGGATTAAGTGTGTAAGTAAGTACGGTATAAAAAAACAAAATCTGCTCATGATCTTCTAATTCGGACTTTGTCCCTAGCCAGATGATCTTCTAATTCGGACTGGCCGGTCCACCATGGCCAGTCCACGGATTGGCCGGCCAAAGGCCGAAATGAAGTAAAGTTTCGGACTTTGGCCGGTCAATAGTTGGCGATATTGGCCAATACGCGCATTAGCCGGCCAATGCGCGATTTGGCCGACTTCGGGCTTTGGCCGTAACAACTATACAACTTACTTGCTAACAGTCGAGTAACATAAACTATCAATGATTATCACACTCTCCTCCAGCAGAGTTCCCATACATTGGAAGACTTGACTTGCATTATAAAGTCCGACAACTCCCGGATACTCGCACTCTGTGGCGACCTCGGTACCCGAGTACATCCTCTTGACTATTGCCCCGAGCTGAGCTGGTCTGTTTCTGGTGTAATAACACGTCTCTAAGAACAAATGAAAATTGCTGGTCAAATTTTATCAAATTAGTTTTTTGGTGTGTTTAAGGTGGTGATCACTGAACAAGCAAATCAAATTCTTAATTTGTGAATCGCATTTTAAATAATGAATTTAGTTGTTGTTTATTATTATTTATTTTTTTTAGAATTTAAGGTGGCTTGTTTACTGTTTTAGTAAATTGAATTGAACACTCCGCGCACGTGTCATATTTACCATATTTTCTGGTTTAAATTAAGACTTTTAAAACCAGAAAATTATTTTCAATAAACCGGGAGTTATCTCCCCAAAAATTTCTCGAATATTCTTACATAACACTACCGGGGATGGCACCTCGGGATATAGACATGATTTTTAATCCATTTTTATTTACTTTAATTTTTCAAAATAAAATAGAATCTCGTAGAAAAAAGAATTGCGCACCAAGTGAACGTCAAAAAATCTGTGTATAGTAGTGCGGAATATTATTAGTACTTTATAAATTCACATGCGTTGTTTGTTTTTTTTTTTGAGAAATCGGAAATAGCGTAAATTACTACTTCCGGTCAACGGAAATTACTCAAATTTTGATAGAAGGCAGAGAATTAGATCTTTTATTTATATGTTAAATTTCATTTATCTATCTCAAACAGCGCTCTAGTTATAGGCTTTTGAAAAAATTAAAAGTAGAATAAGTTCCACTTCTTGTTATCGAAAATCGCTGAAAAGTTTATATAGAACTACAAATTCGATATAATACTTGTGTTTGAAATTTCATCAACCTAGCTGTAACAGTACTCAAGTTATCGTTCTTTAGTACTATTTCAACAAGATAAATCAAATTTCACATGTTAATTAAGTAAAAGAACTTTTTCTGCCTTCTTTCAAATTTTGAGTACTTTCCGTTGACTGGAAGTAGTAATTTACGCTATTTCCGATTTGTCAAAAAACGCATGTGAATTTATAAAGTACTAATAATATTTCGCACTTTATACACATAATCTTTAGCGTTCACTTGATGTGCAATTCTTTTTTCTACGAGATTCTATTCTATTTTAAAAAGTTTAAGCAGTTAAAAATGGATTAAAAAATATTGTCTATATCCCGAGTTGCATCCCCCGTAGTGTTATATAAGAATATTCGAGAAAGTTTAGGGGAGATCACTCCCGATTTATTTGTTTTCATTTTGTTATGGGCATTAATTACAAATTGTAGAAATAATGTAAGACTACCCCTTCTTTAAATTTACTTCTAGATACTACCTGTTTATGCCGTACTTGAAATTTCAAGTTACGTTAAAACCTCATGGTTACAAAATTTACCTGGTGTAGGTGTCGTTGTTGTAGCGGCTGTGGTTGTTGTGGTTGACGCCTCTGTTGTAGTTGTGGTTGACGCCTCTGTTGTAGTTGTGGTTGGCGCCTCTGTTGTAGTTGTTGTTGGATTTTCGGTTGTTGTCGTTGTTGTCGCAGCAGCGCACTGACAAAGCGAGCTAAACACGGCATCGTTGCCTTGACTGCAGGCTAATAATCAGAGGTGGTTAAGTCGAATGGTATAGATTTAAACTGTTAGTTATCTAGGGTTTCAATTGAGCAGGGCAGATTTGCAGTGTTTCTTCCAGACTTTTTTCTCCGGGGGGGGCACTTGAAATTTTCGGGGGGGGGGGGGGGGCGGTAGACTTTCTTCGGGGGGGGGGGGGCGGACACTGTTAAAAGTATATATTTTCTATATAAATTATATAAATTTCATTTCTTTCGGGGGGGCGGTAAAAAAAATTCGGCGCGGCAAAGCCCCCCCCCCCCCCCCCCCCCGAAGAGATGCCTGGAAGAAACTCTGCAGATTTGTGTTACAATAGAGATAAAAAGATATTACCAGTTAAGTGTTTCTCAACTCATAAGTTAATAATTTTCGAACTCATTAACAAATTTAGTTTTTCTGAAATTTAAACCCTTTGTCAAAACAAAATAATTGCGTTAAAAGAAGCTGCACTCGTGATGTTATTGTTCATTCTTAGATTTTATGCTATTTATCTTACATCTGACAGTCAAATGGTAAACAATGAGCTACAGAGATAAAATCCAATACTGCAACTCGTTTTAAAGATATGAGTGAGATGTTAGTCTGCAGATAATTTCTATTGTTGTGACACGTATAAGCAGGTGGTAAAATGTGTGTGAATGATAGTGATTGATATACTTCTATTGGTTATGTTAGCCAGTTCAATATAAAACCGTGTTGACTTACTTAGTTCACAGTAAGAGTTGCCCTGTTGTAGTGGCGACAGTGTTGTCGTGGTGGTGGTCGTGTAGCCCAATAACGCACAGGGACCTCCCAGTTGGAATTCTGGAATTTGACAAAACACAGCGTATTTTGTTTGATGGAACAAAAAATAATCAGGGTTAAGGGTATTACATAAACTATTATTTGTATATCACGTGTGATAGTTATTCAATACTACAAGACGTCTTGATATTTGTTTGGACGTTTTCTGTTAATAAACAAAAAGAAAGTGTCAATGATAGTCTCAATTTTGCATGGCATGAGCTGTCTAATATAGAAAATGTGACATATGAAAACGTAAAATGACTCTAGGTGCAAATGCATCGTTATGTTCTAAATTATTACACGTACGCCTACTCTATTTGGAAAACTTTATAAATCTTTGGGGCTACTGATACATAAGTTAGTATAAAAACTTGAAACCGCATACTGCTACCCATGATAGCATACATATTTAAAAAAACGGCAACATTTAAAACCTGACAATGGTTACTGCAGTGCTAAATATGCTAGCATTGAACATTACAACAATAACATTACTTCTATGTTAACTTGCATAAAACATAATATCATAGATATATACTTATAATTATTACTGAATAAGCTAGCATGCAAAACTGAAGATATATTTACTTACTGCTACACATATTAGCATACAAACCCAACGACATATACTAACTGCTACATATGCTGACATACAAACATGACGACAGATATACTTACTGCTACATATGCTGGCATACAAACCCGACGACAAATATACTTACAGCTACATATTTTATCGTACAAAGCTGACGACAGATATACTTACAGCTACATATTTTATCATACAAACCTGACGACAGATATACTTACTGCTACATATTTTATCATACAAACCTGACGACATATATACATACTGCTACGTAATATGCTAGCATACAAACCTGACGACAGATATACTTACTGCTACATATTTTATCATACAAACCTGACGACAGATATACTTACTGCTACATATGCTGGCATAGAAATCTGACAACATATACTTACTGCTACATATGCTGGCAAACACCGAAGTGTTCACACAGAAGAGAAGAGCCAGGACAAGACGGATACTTGAAGACGCCATTTTGAGCTGAGTTTCTTGAGGTCTCTAAAGTTTCAGCTGGACTGTCGGAGCTTGCACGAGCTTACTTGTTGGAGACTGACGTGCTCACGTTGGTAACTACAGACGACTGACAGCACGTGCGGTAGGTGTTACCGCCCCTCCCCCACCCCCATCTTTTCTTATCGTTTTCCCATTATTATTGAAAGGCGACAAAAGAAACTTTCTTACGTCAATAACAGACGAAACAAAGCGTGAAAATAAGTGTGTTTACTTAAACAGATCAATATGACGTCAGCACGACGCCAATAACGTCTGCTTGGTAACGATCAACTGCAAAGAATCGACATCGCTATATAGAACTACATCACAAAAAAGTTTATACTTTACTAAATACATATTTATCTCACTGGTAGGTTATTTTTAGATTAGGTAAGTGCTCGATTTTCTTTATCACACGTAAGTTTTTTTTCCCTCCTTGAAATATTTAAATTTTCACAATTTGATATTTTTCATTGTCATACTCCAATTAGAATCGTGTTGCTTATACTAAATATTTAGAGCGCGTTTTCTTTAAAGATTTTTAAAATTGCTGTATAGCGTACTGTCTGTTTGAATATTATTGGTTCATACACTGCCAATCCACTTTTTTTTAATTGACTAACTCAGTTCTTCAACCGGGCTGGGCTGAAACAGCGTTAAGCAAGGAAGTAGAAATTACTGTCGACTCAACTTCTTTCAAATTTCTAGAATATAATCCAGCGTTCTATCGCTCAATCTTTTTAGATATGCACACAGATTTTTAAAAAAATAGAACATGAATTGAAATACAACTGGTTTAATTATATTTATTTGCTTTTTTATTGAATTATGTTTTCCTTAACGCCAACATTTTATAAAGTTAAATAGCATCGTAAGTTGAATTTGACTTCACCGGAATGTGACACACCGCAAGTCACGTGATGGCCGTTGTACCTGTCTTGGCTACTATGTAGGGATGTACTTGGTTGTCTGCAGCCCGTCGTAAAAGTTGTGTACAATGTTATCTGCTAAAAGACTGGTCGCTACGGCCTTCATGTAGCAGACGAGAGGGAGGGGTTAGCAGATGATGGAATAAATAATTCGGCCAAAAGTTTGAACAAATATTTTGGCCAAAAGTTGGAATAAATAATTTGGCCAAAAGTTGGAATAAATAATTCGGCCAAAAGTTGGAATAAATAATTATGATACACCGCGGGTCGGCTCGTTTCTGATAGTTAAATAGTGAATACCTTAACTTCTCATTAACTAATGTAAACAACTCACCGGAAGCCAGCTGATGAACACGTGAACGCCACCTGTATGGTGACACCAACGGTGATCCATTCCTTGGTTTCTAAATGACTACAGATCAGTGGCGCCCCCTGATCACTCTGGTGAGAAGATCAATAACTGTTGTAACTACCTCTACACCTAGATGTGTGTTTAACATTCAGGAAAGGATTCTCTCACTAGGGGGTTGGGATTTTTTTTCCGGGGAGGTCACTGACCAGCATAGTTCAACAATTTTTAAAGCCATTAAAATATTAACTAATGGAAGCAGTTTTACTCACTAACTAAACAGTTAGGCTAAAAAAATACTTCCATTTTATGATATTCTTAGAACTATAGTTTTAAAAAATTATATTTTAAAGTAGCTAGATAATCTTGGGTACATTACAATTAGTTTGTATTAAACCACCATGGAAATAGTGTTTATCTTAAAATACATGCAAGCAATTATTCGTCATATTTTCTCTTCAGTTCCCAGAATATATGTGTCCGCCCCTTAAAACAATATTACAACATTATCTACCATATAACAAAACTGCAACATTATCTACCATACAACATAACTACAACATCATCTACCATACAACATAACTACAACATCATCTACCATACAACATAACTACAACATCATCTATCATACAACAAAAATACAACATTATCTACCATACAAGGTCCCGTTTTTGTTGTTTTCCCATCGGCCCGGGTGAAGGTAAAATTTCTGGAACAGATGCTGCCGGCGTTGACCTTGACCTTCACCTCCAGGAGCGTTTTGCTTGATGACGACATGGCTGTGACGATGTAATTAAGTAAGACAAGTACAACAACATGCATGTAATTATAGCAGACATTCAAACTGCTCACTTTACAATTGAGGTACAGATTGAATACTTAAACTCTAGTTGATCGTTTAATTAAACATACAGCATAAAACACCATATATCTACATCGAAAACTTACAAGAATATATAACTTTTAATGTATGTATCATCACTTTTTGAATAACACGAAGGGGTCAGTTTGTTATATTGTGTTATTGCTTGTGTTGACAGGTAACGTCGCAAGACAGTAGCGGATGGAGGGGAGTGCGGCCCGTACTGGGTGACACCATCCAGGGGGGTGGGGGTGAAACCAGAAAGAAAATAGCTAATTTTAAAGAGAAACTCTACTTTTCCAGTTAGTTTAATAACTTATCGAAGTTACATACTTCATTAGACCCGGGGGGGGGGGGGGAAGAATTTCGGATTGGGGTGATACCATATTTGCTATAGTTTTAGTGTATGAAATGTAATGACGTCGTCTGAAGAGGGGGAGAGGGTGACACCCTGTATTACCGCACCGGGTGTCACCCCACCTAGTGACGCCACTGGTGTTTACTACACCATCCCTATGATATGTGCACGGTGTTACAGAGCGTAAAGTGTCGCTTACTGTCAGTGGTGTCGCCGTAGCCCACAAACCGGCAGTCGTTGAAGTCGATCTGGGAGGTGAGGATGTTGGCGTTAGGGACACAGGCCGGCTGGACACACCCGGCGTCAAACACAACGGGCTGGCTCAGTGAGACGGTGTACAGTAGGCTGCTTGACTGGGCTGAGGGGGGGGGGGAGGGGTCAGGTGGGTGAGAGGGTAAGATGGGTTAGTCTTAGTGGGTTAGTGTTAGTGGGTTAGATGGGATAGTGTTAGTGGGATAGTATTAGTGGGTTAGTGTTAGTGGGATAGTGTTAGTGGGTTAGTGTTATTGGGATAGTGTTAGTGGGTTAGTGTTATTGGGATAGTGTTAGTGGGTTAGTGTTATTGGGATAGTGTTAGTGGGTTAGGGTTATTGGGATAGTGGTGATCGCTTATTGAGTTAGTGGGTTAGTGTGTTTGGGTTAATGTTAGTGCGTTAAAAGGTTTGGGTTAGGTTAGTGTTAGATAGATTATTACTGCAAATGGATTAGAGGTAGTGTATGTGGGTTAGTATTAGTACGTTGTTGTGTGGATTAGTGTTAGTACGTTGTTAAATAATGTATTGTTAATTTATTGTCTAATGGCTATAACAAGCTATGACATATTTATACGATGTCTTATGTGGGCCATAGTCACAGGCCCCTCTGGTAGAACTATTCCAGATACACCAAGTTCATTAGCCCTGTGTTAAACCCAGCTGTACCCAGTGGTTCCCAGAAAGAACCGCAACGGAAAAAAGCGCAACGGAAAAAAGCGCAAATCAAAAAGCGCAACGGAAAAAAGCGCACACGGAAAAAAGCGCAAAGAGAAAAAAGCGCACACAGAAAAAAGCGCAAAGAGAAAAAAGCGCAAACGGAAAAAAACGCAAAGAGAAAAAAGCGCACACAGAAAAAAGCGCAAACAGAAAAAAGCGCAAACGGAAAAAAGCGCAAAGAGAAAAAAGCGCACACGGAAAAAAGCGCAAAGAGAAAAAAGCGCAAACAGAAAAAAGCGCAAAGAGAAAAAAGCGCACATAGAAAAAAGCGCAAACAGAAAAAAGCGCAAACGGAAAAAAGCGCAAAGAGAAAAAAGCGCACACGGAAAAAAGCGCAAAAAGAAAAAAGCTCACACGGAAAAAAGCGCAAACGGAAAAAAGCGCAAACGGAAAAAAGCGCAAACAGAAAAAAGCGCAAACGGAAAAAAGCGCAAACAGAAAAAAGCGCACACAGAAAAAAGCGCAAACAGAAAAAAGCGCAAATGGAAAAAAGCGCAAACAGAAAAAAGCGCACACAGAAAAAAGCGCAAACGGAAAAAAAAGCGCAAACAGAAACAGAAAAATGCGCAACCAGAAAAAACACAACGAAAAATGTGCAAAAGATAAATTTAGCACAAAGACCATATGGACTAGATGACACATTTATACATGACTGTTAGGGCTGCTGTGAGAGTGTCGTGTTTGATCACGTGATCTACTACCATTTAAAGCGTACCACTACCATCTGCATTCCCATCACCACGATACAGGCGATAATCACTTTACACAATGCCTATTATTTTCTTGGTCAATAATTATTCAACTACTATTCTCGTATAAACATAAAACTATCGACATTACACGAAGTATCTTTCACATTCTCCCTAGTCCGAACTACCTAGCTTGCATACCATAACAACCCTTCCTATGGCAAAACTTCACTCTCTTTCATCCGCGTCATCAAACATGCATTCGTCATATCTCTCGTAACAACATTCATTCGCACCAAAATAACAATTTTGTATTTAATATTTTTTCACATCATGACGCACCTACCTAGTACCTACTACCCACCTACCTACCTACCTACCTACCTACCTAACTACCTAACTACCCACCTACCCACTTACCCACCTACCCACTTACCCGCCTACATACTTACCAAACTACCCACCATAAAAGTATCGGCGAAGTTCGTATGTTTCGTAAACTGTACTAGACATCTTTTTTTAATGAAAATTCATTGACATCATTGACGTATGTTACATATATGTTACATTTTGCGACAACCTTAATTAGTGCGTTGGGCTTGTATGAAAACTCACTTCGAACTAACTCAATTACATGCTATTTATTTTAACATTACACGGTAAGCGCCACCCAACTGTTGTGATGTGAGGTGAGGACAGGTTCGACAATAAACCAACACGAAAGTACGAAAGAGACATAGACTGCCTATTAGAGAATGGACCCCTTAACTTTCCTAACCCCACCATTTATTATACCCTACCTAATCTCTAAATTTCCTGCGCTAAATGTCACTTCCGTCCCAATCTTTCCTATTTTACAGAATTGTGTATACTATTATATAAAGTATGAGGGGGGGGGGATGGATATCAAAGTTTGAGGGGGGGGGGGGGTACAATCAAAAGTTTGAGGGGGGAAAAAGTCTGGAAGAAACACTGCATGTAGCCTGATGTTATTATAAAACTTCATCTCTCTTTGTTTCTTTATAAAAAGGTTATGGAAGGTTTTTAAGGTATTTTACTGAAATGTTTACCGGACGAATGCAAAATGATGTAAACAACCATAGCTCTTCTGTTATATAGGCTACATGCAGTGTTTCTTCCAGACTTTCCCCCACCCCCTCAAACTGTCGATTGTACCCCCCCCCCCCCTCAAACTTTCGATGTGCATATATATATATATATATATATATATATATATATATATATATATATATATATATATATATATATATATATCGAGGGGTCTATGGGGGGGGGGGGGTTATGACCCCCCATAAACCCCACCTGCCTACGCCACTGCATATAAGTATTCGCATAGATTTAGAGTAGCGTCCCTTTTGTTTACATGTTTTCATTACCCTTCAAACAAAAGTCTATTTTAGTTATATTGAGATTAAAGAATGTAAATAAATAGTATACACAATTCTGTAGAATAGGAACGATTGGGAGGGAAGTGACATTTAGCGCAGGAAATTTAGAGATTATGTAGGGTATAATAAATGGTACGGGACGGAGTGGTCTAGCGGTAGAGAGCTGGGCTGCTAATCCGTAAGTCTCGAGTTCGAATCCGGGTTCAAGCCAGCAGACCGTCCCTGAGTCCACCCATCTCTGATGGGTACCTAACTAACGTTAGGGAGAGTAAAGGCGGCTGGGCATAGTGCTGACCACACTATCTCTTCATATGCCGAGGTCACAGAAACAAGTGAACTCTACTTCACTTGCCCCATAGACCGTCAGGGAAAGGGAAACTTTACTTATAATAAATGGTGGGGTTAGGAAAGTTAAGGGGTCCATTCTCTAATAGGCAGTCTATGTCTCTTTCGTACTTTCGTGTTGGTTTATTGTCGAACCTGTCCTCACCTCACATCACAACAGTTGGGTGACGCTTACCGTGTAATTAAAATAAATAGCATGTAATTGAGTTAGTTCGAAGTGAGTTTTCATACAAGCCCAACGCACTAATTAAGGTTGTCGCAAAATGTAACATATATGTAACATATGTCAATGATGTCAATGAATTTTCATTAAAAAAAAAGATGTCTAGTACAGTTTACGAAACTTACGAACTTCGCCGATACTTTTATGGTGGGTAGTTTGGTAAGTATGTAGGCGGGTAAGTGGGTAGGTGGGTAAGTGGGTAGGTGGGTAGTTAGGTAGTTAGGTAGGTAGGTAGGTAGGTGGGTAGGTGGGTAGTAGGTACTAGGTAGGTGCGTCATGATGTGAAAAAATATTAAATACAAAATTGTTATTTTGGTGCGAATGAATGTTGATACGAGAGATATGACGAATGCATGTTTGATGACACGGAAGAAAGAGAGTGATGTTTTGCCATAGGAAGGGTTGTTATGGTATGCAAGCTAGGTAGTTCGGACTAGGGAGAATGTGAAAGATACTTCGTGTAATGTCGATAGTTTTATGTTTATACGAGAATAGTAGTTGAATAATTATTGACCAAGAAAATAATAGGCATTGTGTAAAGTGATTATCGCCTGTATCGTGGTGATGGGAATGCAGATGGTAGTGGTACGCTTTAAATGGTAGTAGATCACGTGATCAAACACGACACTCTCACAGCAGCCCTAACAGTCATGTATAAATGTGTCATCTAGTCCATATGGTCTTTGTGCTAAATTTATCTTTTGCACATTTTTCGTTGTGTTTTTTCTGGTTGCGCATTTTTCTGTTTCTGTTTGCGCTTTTTTCCGTTTGCGCTTTTTTCTGTGTGCGCTTTTTTCTGTTTGCGCTTTTTTCCGTTTGCGCTTTTTTCTGTTTGCGCTTTTTTCTGTGTGCGCTTTTTTCTGTTTGCGCTTTTTTCCGTTTGCGCTTTTTTCTGTTTGCGCTTTTTTCCGTTTGCGCTTTTTTCCGTTTGCGCTTTTTTCCGTTTGCGCTTTTTTCTTTTTGCGCTTTTTTCCGTGTGCGCTTTTTTCTCTTTGCGCTTTTTTCCGTTTGCGCTTTTTTCTGTTTGCGCTTTTTTCTGTGTGCGCTTTTTTCTCTTTGCGCTTTTTTCCGTTTGCGCTTTTTTCTCTTTGCGCTTTTTTCTGTGTGCGCTTTTTTCTCTTTGCGCTTTTTTTCCGTGTGCGCTTTTTTCCGTTGCGCTTTTTGATTTGCGCTTTTTTCCGTTGCGCTTTTTTCCGTTGCGGTTCTTTCCGGCCACCGTACCCAGTACAGAGGCGTAGCGACCCTTCCCGGCGCCCGGGGACAAACTTTTCGATTTGCACCCCCTCAACCTTTCAATTTATTTTTCCAACCTATTTTGGCGCCCCCTAAGGTCGGCGCCCGGGGACATATGTCCCCCCCCGCCCCCCCCCCCCCCCCCCTCGCTACGCTACTGACCCAGTATGCTGAAAGTGTGGTTTATTCAAATATCTCTAAACAAGTTCTCGTAAATCTCCGTGTCTTCGCCAAGTAGAACACCCCGTATGAGATTTATTATTTTAGTTTAATCATAGTTTCTTTTTAAATCTCCATTTTATTTGTTTCAAAAGTTATAAATAGTACCCTCCCTCTCCCATCTTCAGAATCTGACTTCTTTATCTGCGCCTTTCTTTGCTTATTTCTTAGGAAAAGATCACATTGATCATATTTTAAATTCGTGGCTTACGCCAACGCCCCTTCTACCCCTTACTGCGCTATAACACGACATGCCCTTGGTTACTGTAATTGTACGTTACTCTAACATACTTGGATCTAACTTCTGAGCTGTGTTAGCAAGAACAACAGGAGATGATGTTGAGACATCTGTCTGGTTGTAGGACTCGACCAGGGCGTAGAGCTGTACACTAAAACAAAAACATAAATCAGCATTTTGGTTTTTTTTGTATTTAACAACTAAAGCATAAAACATCATTTAAGACCTATTGTTAAACGAAACAGTGACACTATATACGCCATCAAGTAATTTAAACCGCTATCGATTATATCGATACTGTATTCAATCCAAATCCTAGATCTTCCACTAACCATACACATACTGAAATATTTAGCGTATTTCTAAATGTTTCGAATATGTACGGGACTCAGTGCAAATAACATGCAAGTCTGATTTTATTATTGGAGTTGGATGTTTACGGGGATATCTCAAAATTAGCATTAAACTGACAGGTGTTTGATTGGGGGAGGGGTTGGTTATTGTCAGTTTTTCATTCAGACATCTCTTCGAGGGGCAACCTCTCCCCCTCCCCCTCCCCCCCCCCCCCGAAGTACCTCTACCACCCCCTTCCACCAGAACAAAATCTAATTTATATAGAAAATATATACTTATACCCCCCCCCCCCCCCGCCGCACCCACTGAAAAATTTAGTACACCCCGAAAGTTTCAAAAGCCCCCCCCCCCCCCCCCCAACCGGAGAAATAAGTCTTAAATAAACACTGGTTAATGTTGAGTACTATATAGTGAAAAGATCCATATTTGTATGCTTGTGTTTGTGTGCCCCCACACACCATCTACCCACCAACCGTAACTGCCCTGCTAACCTCTGAGCCATTTGTAAACAGGAGCCGTCAATCAGTATTTTGTCCTCTTCCAACAGAGTGCCCATACACATGATACTTTCACTTGCACCATCCGGGTCTTTGTAAAGGCCGACAACTCCCGGATACTCGCACTCCGTGGCGATGTCTGTAGCCGCGAACATTCTCTTCGCCACGGTCTGGAGCCGGGCTGGTCTGTTTCTCGTGTAGTAGCACGTCTCTGGGGGGTACGACGGTGGGGAGGGGGATGGGTAAAGTGTGTGTTTTAAATTTTATTTAAATTCTATAAAATAAAAATCAAGTTTACAAAATTCGACTCTGTATTCAAGCCTCAATATCGGTAGACCAACAGATGTTTAAAAAATATATTTATTTCTTGAATATCGATAGACCAATAGATAATGGTTTAAAAAATATTTATTTCTTGAATATCGGTAGACCAATAAATAATGGTTTGAAAATGATTTATTTCTTGAATATCGGTAGACCAATAACTAATGGCTTTTTAGCGCAATTTCCTTACAGGAATTGCGATTATTAACTTGTCATTTCTGGATGGATGGATGGATGTGTGTCCGCAATGGATGGATGTGTGTCCGCAGCTTTAAGTCGTATCTCCTCCTCAACGAAGCAATATCGAGGACTAGTTTCAAAAGCAAATATGTTAAGCAAGTTCCAAGGATGATTGTGGGCAAAAAAAATTTCGGTATTCCTTCCTGGATTTCCCGGAAAAGCCAAAAAACCTCGAAAAAATGCAAAAAAATATCCTTTCGTTTGATCACAAAAAATTTAAAATTGTTATGGATAACATAAGGAAATTGCGCTTAAATTGTCACTAGACTTTTTATTAACTTGTTTTTGTATTGGATGAAATAGTTTGATCTACCTGGTCGTGGTGTTGTTGTTGTCGTTGTTGTCGTTGTTGTTGTTGTCGTAGCTGCACAGTTGCAGTAGGTGGCGAATACATCGTCATGCCCCTGTGCACATACTAAGAGACAAACACATATCAGTTTATCAACAACTGGTTACCAGTCAATATCTTTATATGTAAGACAATTAAATGCAAGCCCCTTTTTCTTTCTCCTCTCCCACCACCACCACCCACTATCCTATCCTACCTACAAAATATTAACGAGCGAAGTGCTGAAAAATCATCAAGAGCTACAATATAAAATGACTTATCAATGCTAACAAGCTAGTGGCGTAGATAGGGAATGTTGGGGAGGGGTGAAGGTGAGGGCTGTAATCCCGCCCCCCCCCCTTTCATGGACCCCCCCCCCTCCCTCAGAATGACAGCTCTCTGACTTCAAATAACAGCTAGAGGGGGGTGACTGGTGCCTCCATGTAGCTTTCAATACTTTTGAAAAATGTTGAAGCCGTCAAACCTCACAATATACAATTAATACTGAGTGATACAGTTCCTTAAACACCTAATACCCCCCCCCCCTCCATTAAATCAATCACCACACAATCACATAAAAAGACCAATACATCATTAACTACATTAAATCTATGACAGACTCCCAGATACAGATTTACCTAGTAGACAGTAAGCGCTGTCTGGTGGTGCCGGTGCTTTAGTCGTGGTGGTCGTCGTTCCCTGGACCAGGGCACAAGGTCCACCTAGCATGAACTCTGGACACGTGGGAGAAGCGAGGAATTTATTTATAGTAACAAACACGGAAGTGGTTGTGGTACCTGACCAACTTCAATAATATAATGATGATGACGGTACTTTGTAAGTAACTTTTTTATGACTTGAATATCCGCAGTTCAATATAAATCTTTCTGTCACGTTTTAAAGATTTGTATAATTTTTTTAATAAGCTTAAGATACTTGTAATGGATTTTTATGAGATTTTTAAGATTTATTACTGGATCATTTTGGTATTATTAAGAGATTTGAACCCAGAAAATCTTGACAATTACTAAAACAATACATTTTAAAATCTGACCTGTGTATACCTACGTTTTATTGAATAATGTATTAAACTCCAGATATAATTTTTCACCTGCTGTTGTTTTCCTACCAAGACTTCATATCAACTGTTTCAGAGACACTTTAGATGACAATGTGTTGGTTTAGGACGGCGTGGCGTAGTGGTAGAGCGCTAAATAGCTAACCCGAAAGTCTCGAATTCGAATCCGAGTTCAAGTCGGGTACTGTGTCCATCCGGCGCTGATGGGGATTTAACTCACGTTATGGATAGTAAAGTTGGCTGGGCATAGCGCCGACCAAGGTGCCGAGGTCACAGGAACAGGTGAACTCTACTTCACTAGCACTATTGACCGTCAGGTTCGAAAAGGGAACGTCACCACTATCTGAGAGTGTTTTTACTACAAGATCACGATGGTTTAAACTTTAAGCCTTGTATTCTCTAATAGTGATAGATTAATTTAAGTGAAGATCACGTTGAAATCTCATTAAGTTAGAAATATATTGCCAGCTGTCCTTAACAAATTATAAAGATCATTTTCTGACGTTTATGGTTTAGGTGGTCCTGGCAGTGGTGTCACAAGGATTGACATGTATGTTCTTATGTCATACACTCCGTTATAGATCTATTCATTAGTATGATAATATTTCAACAAAAACCAGATCACGCAAAGAAAAGTTCGTATAGTACTTACTGCTACAGATTGCGGCTTCGGAAAGCTTGCACAAGAAGAATATAAAAAATAAACCAACTAAAATTTTATAAATGTGAGACATTTTTTTTAAATTTAAATTTTGAGCTAAGCACTGGCTAAACAAGCAAGTGATGGAAGAAAATATGCCCTGGGTGTTAACGATTAGCCTAGCCGCATGTGTGATGAGATTTGGACATGTTTTCGGGAATTCACCGAGCTATTATTGGAAATCTATTTGAGGACATGCAGACGCTTTTGTCTAACGTTGTTTATATTAGACGACATGTGGTCAAACGAGGCTCGTGGGACGGTGGTTATACATGGACAACGACGTGTATACAATTTATTTATCTACCCATAGTCTACCATACTGTCAGTTAAGAATAATACCAGTTTAACATTTTTGTAGAAAAAAACAATGAAGCCCCAGTAGTCATGTACATGTTTGGAAGTATTTACAAGTAGCGTGTTTTTTAGCAGATGACTTTTACCTTTAAATACATTATTTTAACTTTCAATTAAAGTACCAAACCTGTAAATCTGATGTGTAAAGGGAAGCCACCTGTTACTATCGATAACTGACCATTTCCATTTTAAAGAATTGCGTCCCTTGTATGAGGAATTCATGCATGTGTATTTGCCTATTTATTAATTTTTATTTTTAACATACACAAGAGTGTAAGGTATGATAAAAGTTGTAAAACGAACCATCTATTTCACCATTAAAACATGGTGTTTGATGTGCATATTTTTTTAATTTACACAAAATCTTAATTGTTTTCATTTAGACATTTGAATGAATAACAAAATATTTATATAGTTAAAAGGAAACTTGATAAATAAAATAAATGCACCAAAATAAATACATTTTTTTATTTGTCTAGCAATTAAAAGTGTTTTTACATAAATTATACATTAACAGTGAGATAATAAATAAATAAATAGACACATCCATTCACATATCACAGACAAACTTTCCAAAACAACAAACAAGTTATGCTTTAAATTTTAAATAATTTAGACAAATTTACAAGAACTCTCTGTCTGCCACACCAAGATAGTTTTAACATCAGTGCTGTCAAACATCCAACAACTGCTGTAATATAACAAATTTAGGAGTGTCCATTTGTGCTAGTGAAACTGCTGTAAGAGTTGGTGTTGGGGCTATCATAGTGGCGCAGCATCAGTCTAGGGATGGGCAGGTACAGGCCTGACTGTGGAGAGAAATTAATCATTCTTTTAACTCCTCAGAGGAAGAAATTGTGAATGGTGTAGATAAAAAAAAAATATGGAAATAAAGTTGGATTATTTTGCAATTCAACAAATTTTAAAACTTAATTAAGATTACCTCGTATATGTTGGTCTGTATCTGATATAAAATTTAGAAACTAATAAGACTTACTGAAACATCAAAGACAGAATTCAGGTCCTTGATCTTGAAGAACTTTGCATAGTTTGTTGGGGTGAAAATGTACCTTGAGCCTTTGTACATGCCATCTGAGTCACCAACTGGAAAATTGTTTGAAATGATTTTGTTGTAATTATTTTAATTGAATTTCTACATACGTATATAATATGTAATGTAAGCTATGTGGTTTCTCTAAATTGCAGTGCACTGAATAAATTAACAACATTGTTGTGAAACAAAACAAATTATGTCAAATGCTCAGCTTACACTGTTTAAAATCAGGGGTTCCCAATACTAAATTAAAACTACATTAATGTTTAGATCAGGGCTTTTCAAAGTAAACCTCAATAGCAGTAATTTATTAATTTTATTGTTAGGTCTGGTGGTCAGTGTCATGAAAATTAATTGTGATGATACCAGTGAGAAAGAAATATTAGTAGGCCTAGGTACATTGAGTTATGATATACATTCAGAATGGTGCTTAGACCAACACAAACTATATTTAGTTCACACATTTTTGTAATCATGAAAATGTTTATTTAGTTTCACCGGACCACTGTCTAATCAAACAATTCCTCTAATGTGTTTACGATATGAAAAAAAAAACAAATTACTAATCAAATAGGGTGGCTGGAGTTTTAAAAGTACAGGAACCACTAGGTTATGGCCACTAAACTAGAGAGGGTGTCTAGTGTTTACAAATTATGAGAACCATTCATCTATGAGGATCTATGTAATCTCCACTCACTGGGTTCGTCCAGTCTGAGCCCCACATACACGCTGTCATCTTCTTGCTGTTTCTCCAGGCGTCCAATGTACTTAACAATTCCTATGTAGTTTATGGGCTGGGCTGGAAACAAATAAACATGATATTGTTGAATCAGCAATTTACCTTTTGTAACTTTAACACTGATAATATATTCTAATTAAATAATTTGAAAAAAACAAAGTTTTTTTTTAGATGTTATAAACTTTGTTTTGAATGCAGTTGATGCACTTAACTTTGTTACAAAAGTAGACTACTTTTTATAAACAGAAGATATTTGATTTTTCTCAAATCAAATATTATTATATTTTGTTTCCTAAACATAAAGTCTTTAGTTAAAATTTTAGTTTTTTTTCATAATAGGATGTGTATGTTTATGAAAAAAAAACAATCTGAGCTAACTATAATTATTTCTGATATTTTGTAATAAGTATAGATAACTAACCCTTATTTCCTTATCCTCAGTGCATGAAAAAGTTCTGTAAAAAAAATCGACTTACGTTTCTTGCGTCCATAACGAGGCGGTTTCTGTGGCACTTCAATGGAAACTCTGTCCCCAATCTGGATGATATCACACAAAATGTCATCCTTCTGACTCTGTGTCAGATGAGACAGTCTGCTCAGCTCGTGTTTTGTTAACTTGCTACTGTCCACATAACCAGCTATATCCTGTGAGCTGTACTCAGTGTCACTGCCAGTAGTTGAGAGTGAATGCCCTTGTCTACCCCCACCATTAGCTGTCAGTCTACTAGGAGGGTACTGATCAGTGCTCGTGTAATGTGAAGCTTCAGAATTAAGTTCCTCGTCAACGTTCACACCCAGGTAGTAATCCAAAGAGGGTGGGTATTTGGAGTTTAACTTATGCTTGTTTTCTGATGTGTAAATGAAACCACTGGTGGAAGATTCACCTGAAGAAGCAAACGACTTTCTGGATCTAGGCGAGCATGTCCAAGGCCGACCATCATGAGAAACACCAATAAAACTTGCCTTCTTCTTTGTCCCATTCTGACTAGCTGGATGATGGAAGGACGAGCTCCTTTGCAGTTTCGTTCCGTTTTCTCGAGCTGCGTTATTTCTTATCTGTTTTTGTTTCAGTTTTTGATCACCTTTCACTGGGTCAGTGAGAAAATAATTTGCTTTGCTGCTTGTTTGGTCAGGGCTGTGGCCATGGTTTTCTTTGTTTGAATTCCTCTCCCCTCTGTACGGCTGCTCATTGATGTTGATAGAAATTTCCTGGAGAGTTTATAAATTTAAAGTCATGTCGTTATTATTTAAAATACTTTTTAAAAACTTATTATATTATTTTTATTTTGTTAACTTTCTGTAGGTCTAAATTGCAATTACTTTTCTTTGTAAACAAATGATCATCACATCTTTTTTTAATAATAACACTGTAGGCCTATTATCAGTTTAAAAATTACCAGGGTGTAATAGTAGCCCTAAATGGTAATGAAAATGTCTAAATGAAAATTTAAGTCTATAATCTAATTTATCAAAACCAGTAAAATCCTACAAGTTAAAGGATTATTTACCTCCCTTCTGGCCACAGATTTTCTTTCAGGGTTGTCTAGAAGGCTAGAACATAAAATTTACTTTAAAAACTTTTTTTTAAGTGATTTAATTCTATTCCACATCAAAAGTAAATACATCATTACACATCATTACATTCTCTTTCATCTCACAGCAGTCTTTTTTTTTTTGTATAAAAGTTTGACTTTAGCCATCTTTAAATTTAAATCAATATATCTTCACCACTTAGGCCCCCTCACCTAGGTTTGTTTTCAGGTGCTAAAGTCTGCAGGTAAATCTGTACTAGTCTGTCCAAGACTTGCTGGATCTGGCCTAGCTTGATCTTCTCATCATGGCTGCCAGCTGACTTGATCAGTGTATCAACAGTCACCTGCCAACATTATACTTTCAGTCAAAATCAGGACAAAAGTACATTCAAATAGGCCTGTATGATATTCTAGAATTGAGCAAGTAGCATGTTTAATTAACAGAAATCGAGCAATCAGTAAAAGAATAAATATTGAACAGCGTTATATAAAAACGGTCTATAGTGTAGTTAGTAACGTATATAGTTATATAGTAAATTAGTATATAGTCGTATATATTACTATATATAATAATAATAGGACTACTATATAAAAGTCAGTCACTTCCCAGTTCCCCCCCCCTCCCAGGGGCGGAACTACAGTGCCGCCAGACCCCGCAATGCGGGGGGGAGGGGGGGCAGCCCGTTTAGGGCCCACGGCCGACCATAATCAATTTTTTTAGTTAAAAAAAATAATTTTCTTTAATTTTTGACTTGTTGGTTTTTTTGTTAAAAGAATACTGTAGCTGCGGTTGGATTATCTTTCTTCTACAGACACCATCCCACGATCTTGTATAATTATTCTTTTACCTTTTGTTTTTAAACCATTGTGAAAGATAGGCAAACGTTTAAACCACTTCCATGACTTATGTCCCTTTTTTTAAAGTAAAGTAAGGGTGCTCATAAGCTCCTTTTAATAGATTTGTACTAAACAATTAAATAGCAATTACTTCTCTTAATTACTTTTTGTAAAATACATACTAAAAAATGACATAGTATAAAAAAGAAATGTATTTAAAACTAATAATATAAATTAAAAAAAACATAAAAAAGAAACATAACGCGAGAAACCATTACACATACAAAGCTTGTATGCTTCATATACTTTTGACCGCCTTACAATCAGTTCTGTATGTAGCAGACATAATTATGTTGAAACAAAAACTGTACTTAAATTATTAAAAAAAAAAAAAAAAAAAAAAAAAAAAAAAAAAGATTTATTTTCAACACAGACTAATAGCACATAATTGACGTGCTGGTGGAACTTGTCTTAATATAAAAATAAAAATAATTTTTATTTTATTTTTTTTCAAAACTCGAACAAGCGCGAAATGAGTGTTCTTCATTCGTATTTCGTATTTTCTTTATACACACATACACACACACACATATATATATATATATATATATATATATATATATATATATATATATATATATATATATATATATATATATATATATATATATATATATATATATATTATTTATATGGGACCCAAGAATTTTTTTTTTGCGGGGTGGCCCATTTTTTCTAGTTCCGCCTCTGCCCCCCCCCCCCCCCCCCCCCACTCCTTATACATACGTTCTTTACTTAAATATGTATGGACGCACCTACGCTTAGTGATATGATATTATTAACAACGAGACAAGAGAAAAAGGTGCCACGAACTTTAGAGCGATCCAGGGCCTGGCATTTCTGCTGAATCAAAACATTTTTACTTTCCATTAGCTTCTTCAGTGTTGTGACCTCACTTTTGGCCATCTGGAGCTCTTCGGTTAGGGAGATTATCTTTTCTTCTTTTGCTTCTGTGTCCTAAAATATTTTAAAAAGAAGAAAAAATAGTGTTTGCCTATATCTAAGTAATGGGAGAGTGTAATTACGTTATTGTTGTTAAACTAATAGCCTTGTCGGAAAAACATAGTTTTGCAATCTTGTCCGTATGTCTGTGTGTGTGTGTATGTGTGTCTGTATGTGTGTCTGTATGTGTATGTAAACATGATAACTTGAGTACCGTTACAGCTGGGTTGATGAAATTTTATATATAAGTATTAGATCTAGATCTATATCAAAATCGTAGATCCGAATCAACTTTTAAGCGATTTCCACTTTTTCTACTTTCAATTTTTCAAAAGCTTATAGCTTGATTTCTACTCCAGATAGATAAATGAAATTTCACATGTAAGTAAAAGATCTAATTTTCTGCCTTCGGTCAAATTTTGAGTAAAAATCCGTCTGCCGGAAGAGGTAATTTTCGCTATATCCGATTTCTCAAAAAACGCATGTGAATTTATAAAGTACTAATAATATTCCGCACTATTATATACATCTTTATTTGGCGTTCACTTGGTGTGCAATTCTTTTTTCTACGTGATTTTATTCAATTTTAAAAAGTTTAAGTATTTAAAATGGATTAAAAATCATGTCTATAATCCGAGTTGCCATCCCCCGTAGTGTTATATAAGAATATTCTAGAAAGTTTAGGGGAGATCACTCCCAGTTTATTTTATGGTGTAAGCTAGCGGTGGGAGCCGGACGTTTTCCCGAAAGACACTTGTCCGAATGCCGTTTGCCCGAAGGCCGATTTCCCGAATGGACACTTGCCCGAATGCGACAAACGCCCGAATGGACACTTGCCCGAATGCGACAAACGCCCGAATTGACACTTGCCCGAATGCGACAAATGCCCGAATGGACACTTGCCTGAATGCGACAAATGCCCGAATGGACACTTGCCCGAATGGGACAAATGCCCGAATGCCACTTGCCCGAAGGCCGTTTGCCCGAAAAATGGTAACATTATATATTACTAAATAATCATTCGTAATCAATTTAAATTTCAACAACTATTTTAAATTTTTCAACAACTATTTTATTTATTGTTTCCGTAGGCAAATTTTTTTTCCTTAGGCAAAATTATATTGGTCAAACAACTATTGTTCTTAACTAAATTATTAGTAATAATCCTTTCTGTATCAATTAAGTATTAAACAAAGTTAAGGTTTTTTAATTTGATTCTACATCAAACAATAAAAACAATGTACTTTAATAAAAAAAAAGTTAACCATATTTTATATAAAATGTTTGATACTATCGTTTTCTATAATATAAAATAAATATTTGCTTTTGATTTTAATACTTCTGAATTTCATTACATTTATGTTTACTTTTTGTAAAATTCTTATAGGTTATATCCCTTCGTTAATTAAATTGTAATGTGAACAAAGCAACAGGTCTTTTCTTTTCTTAATCATCAGTAGGCCCTATTACACATTTCCAAATATTACACAGCATTGCTATGCGTCTGAATATATTAATCAACAATGTAATACATTATGATATTTATGTTAAAATCATATAGGTTCTTTTATATCTGAATGTAATACATTGTAAATTTCAGTTTAAGTTGAGACGTAATGTTGGTGTTACTTTCAACATCTACTTTACTTTCATGATGTTGCTATTCCATTTGTAAATAATCTATATATATATATATAATTCTCTTCTTGGATACCCTAGAAAAAACCAAGCTGTAAAAGCACCTAGCAGCTCCCTCTCTTCCTCTCTAGGCATATCCCTACCACCCCCACCCCACATGGTCTGGTGAGCTGTGGTTCACGCTAAATGTTTACAATCGTAGAGCCGTAGAGCCGGGTTTAGTGACGGCTATTAGAGGCAGATAATTTAGTTTGAAACCATTTTAAACTATAGGGGAGGTAACTAAGAGGAGGCTGCTTTCATGGGGGGGGGGGGGGGGGGCGGGTGTAGGGTAGGGGCTGGGGGAAAGGAGGGTGGGGGTAGTATCGTCCTTAACGAGCTACTTATAGTGTTTTAAAGAAATATTTTCAGTGGCAGCACTGGTACTGTCGAATTCACAAATTATGAATTACTGAAAAGTAGAAAATAAAACAACTAAATAGCGGCATATGATACGCCGCGGGTCGGCTCGTCTTAAATATGTATCTACACTGATTCTGTTGCAGTTGTATTGTTTGTGTGTGTGAAAGGATGAAGCTGTAATGAAATAGCAGCCAACTCATTTGTAACAAGTAACATTTTTTTAAGTGGACGTCGACATGAGATACATTACAGTAAATTTACTAGCGAATTAACAACAGAAAAAAAAATATATAGGCCTATACATATATATATATATATATATATATATATATATATATATATATATATATATATATATATATATATATATATATATATATATATATATATTAGCAAGTTTAAGTCACGGTGTCACCCCCACTCCCCATTGTCGGAATATTTAATTTGCGCTTAAAAGACTTTTTCACTCTAACTAATCAGTAATTGAATTAGCAAAATCATTTTTCTGGTATCTAATATATAAAGCTCAGTTCTGTATGTAACGCATATGTTTGTCGTTGGTCTTGGATGGATTTAAGTGTTAGACAATTACCGTGCGCATTTGTCTAAATTTATGAGTTAAAAAATTACTATTGAAAGTGTTGGGAAATAATTTTCATTTTTCAAATTATAGTAATAATTGTCGGCATGTTCATTAAACACAAGTTTAAAAAAAAAAAAAATCTTTTACAAAAATTCTAATTATGTCTTTATTTAGTCCTATAGCACTTACTTCCCTTTGATAAATTAGGAAAACACAATTACTTCCCTTTATAAAACCATTGCATTTTGTGGAAAAGAATTTACTTTTTAATTACTTTGTTTTGGTGTTGGGAAAAAAAATAATTACATAATTAGCGGGGATTGATCAAGTGCAAATGTTGTAGGTATTTTACGGATAAGCTTGGAGTATTATAATTGTTCATCAAATTGAAACAGGCGCGTTCGTTTAAGTGAGTGCAAAAGACTATGAATAAGTTGGGGTACTATAGTCGTTCATTAAGCTAAAACAGGTGATTCCGCCCCGGGCGTTTATGTTCGCGTTAGTGTTTTCTTTGTGTTTAGGTGGGTTTGCGTTAGTGGTTGCGTTTTGATTTGGTTCGTTTTTGTTCTTTCTTTTTTCGTTTTTGTTAGTGTTTTTTTGTTTGGGTTTGTATTTGTGTTTTTGGTTGGTTTTGCGTTTGGATTTGGTTTGTTTTCGTTTGCTTTTTCGTTGTTGTTTTTTTTTGTTGGTATTGGTGTTTTGGGGTTGTTGTTAGGTTTTTGTTTTCGTTTGCTTTTTTGTTTGTTTTTTCTTTGTGTTTGTATTGGTGTTTGTGGTTGTGGTTGGGTTTGTTGTTAGGTTTTTGTTTTCTTTTGTATTTGTAATTGTGTTAGCGTTATGTTTGCGTTTTGTTGTTTTGGTTGGTTGTGGTTTGGGTGGGCAATGCCGGGTTTATGATGATTACTAAACACACAGGTAATGGTCTTTAACAGAAAGGTTTTTCACAGAAGCCAGAGCAGGGCCTGGCCGGGACGGCTAGTATATTATATATTTTGCTTTTTTTTTTGTCTTGGTGTCACCCCCACCCCCCTTAATGGTATCACCCGGTGCGGTCCACACACCCCCCCCCCCCCCTGCCCCCGCTTCGCGACGCCCCTGAGATATATATATATATATATATTTTATATATATATGTTGGGGAGACAAGAAGTTTTGGGTTTTCAAGGAAGACGTAGAGTCAAAAGTTTAAGAAACCGCTGGTGTAAATTTACCCGAATTTGATCTTTGTATTCACGAGCAGATTTTCTAGAGGCGTTCAACAAGGCGGTCTTTTCTTCCAGAGATTTCTCCAATGTCAGGATCTTCTTCTCTTTTTCACTGATCTCTTCCCGGAGTCTCGGGATGGTTTCTAGACCCTGTGTGCAGAATATCAAATATGTTTACAGTTTCTAGACCCTGTGTATAGAATATCAAATATTTCTTATAGTTTCTAGACCCTGTGTATAGACTATCAAATATTTTTATAGTTTCTAGACCCTGTGTATAGACTATCAAATATTTTTATAGTTTCTAGGCCCTGTGTATAGAATATCAAATATGTTTACAGTTTCTAGACACTGTGTATAGAATATCAAATATTTTTATAGTTTCTAGACCCTGTGTATAGAATATCAAATATTTTTACAGTTTTTAGACCCTAGGTACAGAATGTCATACATTTTACAATTTCAAGACCTGGCTACAGAATATAGTTATATAACCTCTTTTTGTCTTGACATTGTTTTTCGTAAATAGCCTATCATTTGTGCAAATGTTTCTATACAAATTCTCATGTAATATGAAGACTTGGTAATCGGGACTAAGAGTTATACAGGATCGGACTAAAGAATAGCTGGGATTTGAAATGAAAATATTACAAACAGCATTAAGACACAATGAAATGACTACCAAATTCGGAAACTAAACGACATACGTTTACATTTTAACAACATTAATAATGATGTAGGAATATCGATTATATAATAAAAACAAAAACAAACAAAAATTGTAAAACTAGCCTAGCTCACAATAAGACATAGATGCTACTGACACCAAACAACGACTGGTCAAGGACACATATGACCAGATATGAGACAACCTCCATATAAACAGCAGACGTACCGAACAACGACAAGTCACAAAAGACACAGAGAACCACAAGATGTGACTACTACTAAACAGCTGATGCCTGCAAGAAAAGACAACTCACCCTCTCGATATTATCGTTCTTCATCAACTCGTGTCTGACTTGAACCTTGAGGTCATCCAGTTTTTTCTCCATCTCCTTCACCTTTTTGTTGGAGTCCTTTAATGGGAACATATATGATCATGACTTAGGCCGGTAGTGAATTTTTTGGTGTCTTGTAATGGGAACATATATGAACATGACTTAGGCCGGTAGTGTATTTTTTGGTGTCTTGTAATGGGAACATATATGAACATGACTTAGGCCGGTAGTGTATTTTTTGGTGTCTTGTAATGGGAACATATATGAACATGACTTACGTCGGTAGTGTATTTTTTGGTGTCTTGTAATGGGAACATATATGAACATGACTTAGGCCGGTAGTGTATTTTTTGGTGTCTTGTAATGGGAACATATATGAACATGACTTAGGCCGGTAGTGTATTTTTTGGTGTCTTGTAATGGGAACATATATGAACATGACTTACGTCGGTAGTGTATTTTTTGGTGTCTTGTAATGGGAACATATATGAACATGACTTACGTCTGTAGTGTATTTTTTTGTGTCCTGTAATGGGAACATATATGAACAAGACTTAGGTCTATAATATATCGCTTTTGTATCCTGTGATATAGGAACATGACTTTGGTCTATAGTGTTTTTTGTTGGTATGTTGTGGTGTGAACATGCATGAACATTGCTTAGGTGTATAGTGTATCTTGTTAGTATCATTTGATGTGATATATGTGAACATGACTTTGGATTATAGTATAACTTGTCATTATTCTGTGATGTAAATAAATCTGTAGTATGTCTGGACGACTTACGAAAGCGATACTAGATTCGAGCCACTACTTTAGGGATTATCAAACAAATGGATAATCCCGTGTCATGGTAAAGATTAGTGGTCTAGATGTGGCCAATTAAATTATACGGTGACTGGAAAAAGCGCATCGGGAAACTGCCCAACAGAAAAATGCGCATTTATCAACTTAAGCAAAGAAAACCGCAAGTGTATTGTAGAAAAATAAAGCATGTTTCCAAGAAATATGACATAATTTAGCTTAGTTGGTTAATTAATTAAATTAGTTTGTACTTGCGCCATTGCGCAGTTTTCCGTTTGCGCATTTTTCTGTAATAATAATACATGACACTTTAGTGGTAACAATATTGCAAAAACGGACTCGTATAGGCGATGCACGTTTTTCTTTATCTACATTACGCAATACGTTTTGTGAGCAGTAATGATGGAGATTATCACAGATTCTTTGAAAGATGTACAGTGTTTCTTCCAGACTTTTTTCTCCGGGGGGGGGGGGGCACTTGAAATTTTCGGGGGGGGGGGGGGCGGTAGACTTTCTTCGGGTGGGGGGGGGGGGGGCGGACACTCAGATGCTTGGAAGAAACTCTGAAGATGAACAGATCTAACGTAATTTTAGACGTTGAACTACAATACGGAACGCACGTGTTAAACGTTGCAGCGTGTATGGTAAAACCATTGAGTTGACAACAATATATCAAAAGTCAGATGTATCAAATTTCATCTTGAAACTGGGAGACATGTTTTTATAATTTTACTAGACAAAAGAACAACTGAAATAGAAAGACAAACGTCCATTTGAAACATAACTAAACAGCTAAACACATGTTGTGTTCTAAGTTTACCTCCAGTTCTCTGCACTTGTCGTCATATCTCTCTTGGAACCTTTCAAATTCTCGTTCTTTGTTCTTTAACTCTTGTCTGAAATGTGAATTTATATATATATATATATATATATATATATATATATATATATATATATATATATATATATATATATACGTGTGTGTATGTATGTATATATACAAGTTTAAATGTTAGCCAAAATTAACCACAACTACTTACTGGCAATTCTCCAAATTCCTACGTGTAGACTCCAATGTTAGCTCGGCCTTTTCCACCTCAGAAGCTGTGGGGTAGGGGAGGGGGAGGGCAATGTTGAGACAAAGTTATTGTTTGTACAAACTGATTATAGTCTTACATTAAAATGTTACTAAAGTTGATGCTACCAAATAAGTTAATAAGATGCATTTTTTTTACCCATTTCTCAAAGCCTCGATTCATGATAATCAGATGGGTAGACTGAATCGTGAGTTAGCGCTAAATGTAAGTATTATCGTAAGTTTAAGCCTGTTAACAATATATGTCCCATGTTGTCAAGAGCAGCACCTTTACAAATTGATTGCCACGTCAAGAAAGATAAAGTACATACACTAAACCTCAGCGCTACCTCTGGATGACTCTGGACCCTCTGTGACTCTTTACTCCCTCTCTATGACTCTTTACTACCTCTCTACGACTAACAGTATTCAAAACATCAAATAAAATATCCAAGATGTAGAGACACTTTTGTAGATCCTCTTTCTTTTCCATTAATCTTATATACGATTTTTATCTAGGTACACCAACCTATTTCAACATAGACTGTACTCTTTAAAAATCACATACACCTCATTTTTATATAAGCACTAGTACCCCCATAGTAATATATTCAAATAAATCACACACACACCTGTACTGTTAGAAGTTTTCATATACATAGTTGCCCTTTGAAATACAAAGACTCGTATACAAAACATAAGTAACCATTTTGAACCAGGCCATTCTGGGTGCAGATGAAGCAGAGTTCACCTGTTTGTATGACCTCGGCATGGAGAGACAGTGTAGTTACCACTATGCCCAGTCGCCTTTACTTTCCCTAAAGTGAGCCAGGTACCCATCAAGGCTGAGTGGACTCAGGGACGTCCTATGAACTCAAATCCGGGGGTTCGAACTGGAGACTTTCGGCTTTAACTTTAACACATCCATTATATTATAACAATGAGACGCCTACCTCGTGAATGTTGATGTTTGGAATACATCATTAATTCAACAAATCCTGAAACAACCAAACACCATCAACAAAAAGTGAAAAAGACAGCCGAACGTCCAACCAGTAGCAAGTCAAATAACCAGTTAACTCCACCACGTATGTAGCAGTTCATAAAACTTTTTCCCAACACTTTGTCCAACCGCTACACCCCGTACCACAGCCTATTGAACCGCTCCTATTTAAAATACACTTCTATGATCTAAAACCCTTTGCTTTACCCGGGTTGGTAAACAAAACGACCCACCATTCAAAAAACAGGCAATAAAAAACTATAACCCGCCGAGCCGAATAACGCGAATCAAAATTTCGGCGAGGTAAACATAGGCCGGATCGTATGACGTCATGGTCGTTTACTCAGCTCTGTTTGAAATCGTTAAACCGTCAAAGCTAAAAAAAAATCACAAATCACGGATATCGATTTTTTTTTTATAAATATGATTGATTTCAAGCGAACGCGGATCGTAAAGCAACTTGGTAAGACAAGCCCTTGCAGAACAATACATAGCTCTCCAAGGCAGTATGTTGGGCGAAGGGTATTGAATCAAAGAGATAAGACAGTTTTAATCCAGTTAATCCGGGTCTTGATTAAAGTTGTCAACATTTTACAACCCATGATGAGAATGGTCGTTAAAACTTCAGTTTTCTACACAGATTTACGAGAGTGGGATTAGTGGTTTGAGTGGTGTGCGTGTTGTCGTTTAGTCATCTAATTATTGTGGACAAGTAGTACATTAGTCGTCTCAATATTGTGTACAAGTAGTTCATAAGTTATTTTAAAGGTTTGGACAAATATTACATAAGCCGTATCAATATTGTGTACAAGTAGTACATGAGTTCTCTGAATGGTGTTTTCAAGTAAACTGTTACATTAGTAGGATCAATATTGTGTACAACCATTACATTCATTTGGTAATATCAATATAGTGGACAACTCTTCGAAGAGTCATTTGAAAAATGTGTAGTAATGACATAAAAGTAGTCATTGTGATGCGTAGACCTACAAAAATTAACCGCATTAATAGTATTTATATAATTTAGATTAGTTTCTTAATGAAATATACCACATTAAAAATTTAAAAAATGTACATATATGTGTACTTTTACCACTGTAAATTACACACGTGTATGGTTGCGTTGTTAAATAGAAACAATTTGCTCTTTACACACAGATATAAATTAGGAGGAAGCAATCTATTTTTCCTTCGATATTCTGTCAACCATGCATTAATAATAATAATATGCATTAATTTCCACATTTAATGTGTTTAATGTTGTCTCCCATTGTACTTGTTTCTTTAACACAATGCAAAGTGTGACGACCAAGGTTTAGTAGATCGGGTTTTACATTTTGTGTTTCTTATTCTGCCCTTCCCCACCCCCCCCCCCCTTTCAACTCTACCTGATCGTATCATTAGCTCGCAACTGATAATGTATGTCAATATTACAGTGTCTGACATTCTATAATTTCAACCATCTGTAGAATTTATAAGGTCATATTTACATTATAGTAGAGTGATCGCTTGCATTATTGTGATGTATAGTATTTATTTTCTACTTTTTAGTTCAATCAGAAAACGTGGGTTTTTTAAAACTTTTTTAATGATTATTATTTCTCTCTCTAACTCTCACTTGCTACGCTCCAAACCTCTTTAATGATCTTCGCACTCTTCTGTCACCGTCCCCACTTTCTTAAACTCTCCGCTTTCATACACCCCATCCTCACCTTCTCGGACAGTCTCAACTCTCACAGACACTATTACTACTCTTTAACTATACCCCCACTCTCTAACCCTATCCCTCCCTTTCCCACTCTCTATCTCTATCCCCCACTCTCTATCCCCACTCTCAACTTTATCCCCACTCTCAACTTTATCCCCACTCTCAACTTTATCCCCACTCTCAACTTTATCCCCACTCTCTAACCGTATCCCTCCCTTTCTCACTCTCTATCCCACTCTCTAACTTTATCCCTACTCTCACATTTTATCCCACTCTCTAACTCTACCCCATTCTCTAACTATCCCCACTCCCTAACTCTACCCCCCTCCCAACACACCCTCTAACTCTGTTCACTCTCACCGACACTGTTCTGTTCTCTTTCTCTCTAAGACTCTAAGACTACATGCCCTATATTGACGTTCATGTGTACCAGTGTATACAATTAAACAAAACTTCTGGCAACGAACCAAGAGAAAGTCAAATATCTGCCAATGGCTTACAATCAAGGGTACTTTAAAATTTGTTTATTTCTCTGGAACCCATTCGTCTAGGGGTGGGGTGGGTGGAGGTGTAGGGGAGGGGTTTGTTTGGCGTTCGATCAGAAGAAAATGTTGACAATAGATAGATGTCAATAAAACTTGGACAGTTTAATAACTGTCATGACGTTTGTGTTGTCAAAACGAGTAAGTGGAGTAGCTGATAAATAAATACAAAATACAAACATATTTAGAAGTGGTGCGAGAAAACATACAGACATATGTTGAAGAGGTACGATAAAACATACAAACATATGTAGCAGGGGTACGATAAAACATACAAACAAAAGTAGAAGTGGCACGATAAAACATACAAACATATGTAGCAGGGGTACGATAAAACATACAAACATATGTTGAAGGGGTACGATAAAACGTACAAACATATGTAGAAGTTATATAACAATATACACAAATAGAAATTAGCAGATGATTACATATACAGTTGAGTGAAAACTAGCTTCTGAGCTATGGGTTGAAGTACTCGTTGTACCAGGTTACTGGGTTCGTGTACTAGGTGAAGCAGGATTTTGGGTTCGTAAATTGCAGGAAGATAGATCTATAATCAATTCCCTTATTGTGGATATTAAAACATAATATATCTGCACTTGCTGCGACCTAACAAAGCCTCAACTTCCTGAAACACTCCTCAGCACAAACATACCGATCCATGAGACATTTCCCTCCCTACTTTCAGCTATTTTTCTCCGGGAAGGGAGGGGGGGGGGGCTTTAAAACTTCAGAGGAAGGCATGTGTAATTTCCGGGGGGAAAATGGGTCTTGAAGACACTGGTTAAAGTAGATTACATTTTCAATTTATTTTTGTTTAATTTCGTCCAGGGGAGGCGGTAGACGTGCTTATGGGAGAGGGGTTGGGGTGGAGAGAAGCATGAAAAACACTGTCTACCTACCCCGTATTTCTAGATTTCTCATCCTGTCTTCCATATGGGACATGTTCCGCTCCAACTTTTCAATGTGCTCAGTTTTCGTCTTGTTTTCGGCGCGTAGTGTCTCGCACAGTTCTTGCGCGCGCACGAGCTTTTTGCTAGCGTCTGATTGGTTGAGCAGGATATCATCCAGCTGTTTTTGTAGCTCCTAAAACAAATTTAGACCAAATTGTAGAAGTAGTAGTAAGATATAAGTTTTATTCAAAACAAAAACGCATGTTTTTCATAATGTTTTTCGTAACACTATGTTTTTAGGATCTTCATTTGTATCAACAATTAAATATACCAAAATGTCAATGTTTTTCATACTTCACTGACGCTTTTTTATACAATATTCAATCGTAGCTTAATCCTAGCCACATTTTTATTTGTTCGGAAAAGATTACTTAGGTTTCATCTATTTATAGCTTATAGATTATTTTTATAACCGTGAACTAACATTTTCTCAACGCCCTGAATTTCAATATTAAGTTTCATATTTTTTATTCCCAGACTAGAAATGTTCTATAGGGCAGTGTTTCTAGTGTTGGTGTTCTGCGGGCCGCATCCGGACCTTCAAACAAATCATGGGCTTGCCCGCACAAAACAACGTGCCTTAGCACCTCCGTAATGTGATATACCAAAATAGAGCTCGTGGGTTATGAGAACTGACCTGCTTGCCATCCTGCTCCTGAGCTAGTTTAGCTCTAAGCCCCTCTAGCTCTTCGGTTTTAGATTTGATCTCTCGTTCTCTGCCCGGAGAAGATAAGACATTAGGTCAATAAAAACAGTGGGATATAGAAGAAGGTCAATAACATTAGGTCAATACGAACAGTAGGTCAGTAAGAACTTTGAGTCCATATGAACAATTAATGCAATAAAACAATAATTCGATATTATAAATCAATAACCCATCACAAGATCAGTAGGTTTAAAATGCTTTGACAAGTACAAACAGCCTGTCAACAACAGCTGCTTAGGAAAGACAGAAATTTAACCATAACAGTTATTAGAACTGCAATATTGAATTGTAGTTCAATAAATTTAGTTGTTCACTATAAAATAGGTCAATAAATATAGAAGGTCAATATAAAGTAGGTCAATGAAAACACTAGATCAATATAAATAGTCTGTCAATAAAAGCAATGGATAATCTCATATATTAAAAAATATGACGTAAGTTTTAAATGTTGAAAATAATGTATAGGAGCAAAATAAAAAGTAACTTATGATAACATGTCAGAAAGTAGGATATCTCATTAAATAGGGACCGAAATATAAACTAATTTACTAGTTTTAGAACCATTGCTTCAAATCATTTGTTTATTTATTTCTTTTTTGTTTGTTTATTATTTATTTTTTTAAGTATTATTTTTAGTATTATTATTATTTGCAACCGCGCAAGTCTTGAGTTGACGCATTAAAAATTCCGAAATAGGAACTCAATATTTTCAAAACATGAGACAATATTTATTTCTTCCACGTGTTATTTTTTTTTTTAAACCTTCAAACAATAAGACGTGAACGTGAAACCAGTTGACTGGTGATCTGGCCTAGATTTGTTTCATTGATTGTCATCGATCGATACCACGGACTGACGCCTGTACACATTGTCAGTTGACAGATCGGGTATCGACGTCTGTCAAACGACAACAATCCAAACAAAACAAACGAATGCTATGGATGTCTCTGTAGATACTATTCGAAGTTGTTGTTTTTTTTTTTTACTTTCTTAAAGTGCTTGTGAAAGTGTACCGCTTTATGTCTGAGTGTGAATAGCATTATGTTGATTTGAAAACTAGACCCAATGGGGGCAACAAGTGTAGGACACTTTTTAAAATATAATACAACGAATCGGCTTTTTAGGATTGTGAATTTGTTGACAAAATCTGCAATGTTAAAACACACACACACACACACACACACACACACACAAATTGTGTTTGGTATATAAGCAGGTGCTAAACCGAAAGTCTGGAGTTGGAATCATGGCCCCGTGCCCGTAAAACGTCCACGAATCAACACAACTGCGATAGGTTAGAGAAAATAAAAGTGGCTGGGTTGTGCTAACCACAATATCCCTTCGTAGAAATAGAAAATAATATATATATATATATATATATATATATATATATATATATATATATATATATATATATATATATATATATATATATATATATATATATACAGGGGCGTAGCGAGGGGGGCGGGGAGGGGGGTGCGGACCGCACCGGGCGACACCATTTAGGGGGGGGGGGGTGACACCAAGGCAAAAAATAGAAAAATATATAGAGAAAAACTTGAGGGGAGGTGCAAATGGAAAGTTTGAGGGGGGTGCAAATCGAAAAGTTGCGGGGGGTGCAAATCAAAACTTTGAGGGGGGTGCAAATCGAAAACTTGAGGGGGGTGCAAATCAAAACTTTGTGGGGGGTGCAAATCGAAAACTTGAGGGGGGTGGTGCAAATCGAAAGTTTGAGACGGGAGGGGGTGAAAATCGAAAATTTGAAAGTTTGTCCACGGGAAGGGTCGCTACGCCTCTGGGGGGGGGGGGGGGAGTGACACCATTAAGTGCCGCACCGGGTGACACCCAACCTCGCTACGCCACTGTATATATATACAGCCCCTTGCCGAAGAAAAATGTCTGAAAGAAAAACTGACCAAGTTTTAAATTAGTCAGGTATACATTTCGGGTATATAAGTAAAATACATGGTGAGTATGTAATATATTTTGAATTACTAATGGAAAAATATCTGATCTGTAGTAAATTTATTTTCAAATACTTCGGGAAAAAATTCATTTCCATATTTCCCCGATAAATAACCAATGCCCAACACTATGCCTTTGATGAAATACCTTTCTAATAGCCCTACGGTCATGTATTGAACGGTTCTATTTTTAGCTTGTATTGTGACATGTTATACTGATCTCCCACAAGCTCTATGTGACCTAGTTTGAGGGGAGGGGGTGAGGAGGGGGGACGTTTATTTCAATTGTGTAGCGACATAGTGTTATGAAAAAGAAAGCGGTTGTGTGTTGTATGTCATGTGCTATGTTTTTTTAACGTAATATGATGTTAAAGATAAGTTTATGCGTGGATAAAATATCCAGTATCAATCAAGTTGTTACTTGGTTATTCAGAAAGTCGAATACTTTATACCACTGAGGTAAATAAAGAGGGGTCATTAAACTTTGTTTTTAAAAAAAATGAAAAGATCTAAGCCCCTATAAAACAACTGTACATTGACATTTGAATGAATGTTAATATTTTTAAAAATACAACTAATCTCTACATAATATAATTATTTTAAGTTGTGTAGTTTTAAGATCATTGACGTATATCGATGTAAAATGTTCTGTTCTGTTATGAATTAGTAAATCATTCAACGTTAAGTTATGATAAGACCTGCTTTGACAAATGCTCATTTACTTCTTTGAATAACAAAGTTATACAACTCGTAAAATCTGCGAAATCAATAATCACACAAGTTTTCTACACTTTTTTTTTTATTTTAATCACGATGCTGCTTTTCTATTAACTGATAGTTTGAAAAGTGATTTGAATTTAAATACAATTTTCGCTCCAATTTCGTTTATCAAAAATATATATTTATATTATGGGTACTTCAATATAGGCATGGTGTATAATGTAGCTTCAGTCAGTTATTCAACTTGACTAAAATTAAGATCCTTACTTACAAGAACATGTACTAACGAACTAATAAACTGAAGTAAAGAGTAAGTTTGTTAAAAGATGGTTCGCCCATGAACAACACGGAGTAAGGCTATTTGTCAACAATAACATCTAATCCTTGATAAAGATGGAAACACAAAATAAATAGAGACGACAACTAACACCAGCCAAAAGTAGAATTGTTTTTTAAAACTGTACTCACTTCTCCAGCAGTTTTTTAGTCTCAAACAACTTAACAGCCACGCTCTGGAACGCCGAGACTTTGGACATTTTCCCTGGGCCACTGCGGTCATTGCTCGCCCCGCTCTCGTGCGTGTGAGCGATGCTGACCGCACGCTGCCACAGGGTATGGCTTCTGGGAGATTTAGCGACCGACATTTTCTAGCAGCCGTCTGCTCTAATTAAACACTGATTTCATTATCCTACATTACACCATGAACGGAAATCACTGTTATCAAAAACACAAACAAGAAAACATCGATATAATTTTTTGAAGCGTGTTTCTTCAACTTCTAGTTTCGCGTCTGATTTAGACCAACCGAAGGTTCTGACATGGCGAATCAATCAATGTTAACAAGCGTACATAACAGCCTCAGCTGTCAAATACAAAATGCAAATTTGTCTTTAAATTAAAGCTACAGCGAAAGGTGAAAAAACTTTAGGGTGGGTGATGTGGGTGGGTAGGGGGTTAGGGTCGACTAAACAAAACATTGAAAAACTGTTAGCAGACGATCGACTGAAACGTTTAACAAAACAAGTTGGGTAAGTTGGAAATGGAAAAAACACGGCTGGCCTTTGGCTCGACATATTATTCCTGTAGACGAGACGCCAATAAATTTCTATAGAGACTTAACGTGACTTGCATGTTACTTGTTATTTAAATGTTGGACAATACTGACATGTTGAAATTTTGGAGTGCGTGGTAAATCTTGTGAAATATTTATAGGTGTCAAAAAACGAAACAAATTAACGATCGAGTGCTAGTGAATTGTTCACAAAATAAGCAATACTTAAAATGTGAAGTGTTTGTTAAGGAAACAATCATAGATAAGGACTACAGTATTTGCGTAGGATTGTTGAAATGATATGTAAAATGACATCACGTGTTTTCAAGTAGTTTATTAGGTGCATGAAAAATAGGACAAGAAATACGGGTTTGATCTTTCTTTTAATAAATTCACAAAACTTTGCCGATTCTATTACCCAATACTAGATAGATATTGTCGACAAAAGACAAATAAACAAGAATCAAGTTTAAAAACCACTAGCATTAAATGATTCAGAAATTATTCACCCCCTTCCCGTTCCACCCTTCATGGGCGTTCTTCTAACCCCACCTGTTTTTGGCCCCTTAAAATAAGTAGAGAAAATATATAGTAACAACAGGCAAAAGTTGAGGTGAAAAGGTTATTGGCCATTGTTTATTTGGGTTGAGGTAAATAGCTACTGGCTTTGTCATTATAAAGAATCGTTAAAAAACATACAAGACGTCCGTAAATTGTGTTTTAGAAGACTCAAGGAACGGCATGGTCGAATGATAGAGGGGCGACTGCAAACCTGAAAGAATCGAGTTCGAATCCCGGTCTCGAATCCTTAAGACGTCCCTGGGTACCTGACTCACGTTAGGGAAATTAAAGGTTACTGGGCATGGTGGTGACCACACTATCCTTTCAAATGCCGAGGTCACTGAAACAGGTGAACTCTACTTCACCTGCACCATGTATCGTAAGGGCACTGTACTTTTTACAACTACAACACAACTGAACATCAGGAACAGAGAGAGTGGGGCCGCCATTATCTGATTTTCTTCCCGCCACCACTAAGCAGATTGAGTTCTGCCACAGATATCATAAATTCTACGATTCTATCGATCGTCAGCCAATCAGTCTGATATCGATCTATGGGTCAAAGGTATTTGCTGACATTTAAAGGGTGAAAGAAAAGTGGATCTATTTTTAGCTCAACAATAAAGCTGCCTCTAAATGTACGTTTATAACACGTTTATAACACGATCCATTTATATTTTACGTGGGATTTAGGCGAGGTGTGTGGTGAGAAGAGAGAGTAGGTGGCGGAGGGGGGGGGGTTAATGAGAGCAATGTAGTAATAAAGGAGAAATGCATTCTAGTGCACGTATTACACTAGAGAGTGGTTGAAAATATGTTGAAATTAATTAAACTGTTAAATCTTTAGTATCTACCTAAGTTATGAAGCCATTTAATAATTAATTGGAATTTAATTGATTAGAATATTTCAGATTCCATTATCAACCCGATAAAAACTAAACAAATGTAAATTGTAAAACAAATTCACCTAAGTAATACAATGTATCATTCTATACTTGAATCTAAATTACCAAATGTAAACAGCACTATGAGATGTAAGGTAATCAGTGATACAAATAGTGTTGGTGACACCATATATGGTAGCAGCATGAACGGTTGTATGTGAAGTAGCACCACAATGAGAAGTGGTATCATGAGGGGTGGTAGTGCCAAGGTAGCTGTGCCTCAAATAGCAGCCTCACGAAGAGTTACATCATGAATGGTAGCACCACAATGAGAAGTGGCATCATGAGGGTGGGTAGTTGTGCCTCAAATAGTAGCCTCACGAAGAGTTACATCATGAATGGTAGCATCATCAGACAAGCTAATGCTAGGAGGGACAATGTGGCATCTCAATGAGGGGACCAGTTACTGACCGTCAGAGTTTCTTCCAGGCATCTCTTCGGGAGAAAGTCTAACTCCCCCTCCCTCGAACGAAATGGAATTTATAATGGAAAACATATACTTTTACCAGTGTCCGCGCCGTCCAGCCGGAAAATTAGCCCCCCCCCCCCCCCCCCCCCCCCCCCGAAAATATCAAGTGCCTCCCCCCACCCCCAGAGAAAAAAGGTCTGGAAGAAACACTGCTGACCGCATCAGACGACACCATACAAGGGTTGTTGAATTTAACGACTGAAAACACCTTCAGATGAAGATGACACCGAATTAACTATAAGTTTGAATACACGTAACACCAACACCCACATACACACACAAGCAATCACGCGCATACACTTGATTTTATGATAAACTTTTTAAACATTAGCAGTATCGGCAAACCGTGTTATAAATTTCAGGGGAAGCTACTCACTTAAATCCTTTAAAGAACATGTACATAGTGGCTTCCCATTAGGGGATGGATAAATGTGTGAGTGCTAGAATGCTATAACGATTTTTCGTATGACGATTTAACTTATTAAACAGACGACAGTATGTTTTTTTTTAAAACAACAACACTGAAAGTGTCATGTCGTCAGAGGCGTGGAAATTGTGCGCCAAGTTGAGCAGGCGTCTCCCAAGTCTCTGACTCCAATTAGTGTTTCTTCTACACTTTTTTCTCCGGGGGGGGGGGGGGAACTTGATGTTTTCGGGGGGGGGGGGGACGGACTTGATGTTTTCGGGGGGGGGGGGGGGCGGTCGACATTTTCCGGGGGGGGGGGTGGTGGAGCGCATGAATTCAATGTTCATATTACCCCAAGTCCGGCGCCTAGGGCGATCGCTCTCCACGCCCCCATTCATTGATAAGCCACTAATGCTGTCTATACTATTATTCAACTATTTATGCGATATTCTTACATGTGGTAACGTGTACGAATCAAATTGTGTATAGATACCATAGACTATGTTGAATGCCCTGTGCATCGAATAAAGTCTAACAAAGCTATGTTTACAATCCGCTTCGCAGTAAATATGTTTTTCTTTAAGTCGTGTCGACAAATATTTCATAATAAAAACATGTTTTAACCCATTGTTAAAATCTACAGTTATCTCATTAAATTGTATGTTCTATTTTTCCTACCAATGTCCGACTAAGGATACTTCCCAAAAAGTGGAGGGGGGGGGGGGAGTTACTTGTAAACTACTAAGATTACTAATTTACGTCCATAATAAACATAGCATACAAGCTATTCATGTTTTTTTTTCTTGTTTTTTTCTAATAGGCCAACAATTATTTGTATCAAGAATACATTTTGAACTTGGAAAATGTTTCCATTCAGTTTATACATCTACCTACAATGTGAAAGCTTATGTATTAAGTAAAGCAAGCACGTTTTAGTACTGTACTTACATGTAGGCCTATCTCTTCAATGTTATTTTTATGAAGAATACATTTCGGACAGACGGTAGAAAAAGACGCAGTTTATAACCAACAATGTGACAACCAACGTATTAATTAAAGCGAGCAGAATTTAGTATTGTACTAACTATTTAATAACTTTATAGATAAAGAATCTATCTAGGACAGAGGTTGGAAAAGTCTTAACATTTAAAATGTCACGTTCTTTATAATCTACATATCAACTAACATTGTGACAGATAACGTTATTAATTAAAGCGAACATAATGTAATAATGTACTTACAATATGGCTGTTTAATAATTTTCTTGATAAAGAATCGTTTAGGACAGAGGGTGGAAATGTCAATTTTTTTTTTATTTCACGTACTTTATAATGTACATAACACTGTGACGGATAACGTATCAATTAAAGCGAGCAGAATTTAGTACTGTACTTACAATTTGACTGTTTAATAACTTTCTAGATAAAGAATCTAAATGATCATCATATCAACTAACATTGTGACAGCTAGCGTATTAATTAAAGCGAGCATAATTTACTACTGTACTTACATGTGTCTGTCGTGGCCGCCTTGTTTATCCATTGAAGAAAAACGAGCTACTACACTTGTGGCACTTTTTAACCTCTTCACCCCCATACTGGACGACTGCCGCTGTACTCCTTTGGACGACTCAGTTACCGCCCCCGCCGCAGAAGATGGGCGGCTGGACGACAAACTAACATTTTCCGGATTTTGTTTAGACGCCTGCTCGTTCATCAGTGTGGTAGTCGCGAGCAGGGCTTTGAGAAAAGCGGCGCGGTGTCTGCAAGGTCTAGCTCCTGCTTCGTCAGAAATGTCATTTATCGTTTCGTATTTCCCAAACACGAATCCGTCGACACTTAATTTCACATGAGGTTTTACTCGGCTAGTTTGTCTGGAAACTGTTGCCGAAAATGGTCTCTGGAGTGTTCGTTTTTGAGCTGGAGTTGTTGATCCTGATTTGACCTCGACGCCGAAAACTTTAAAGTGATCTCCCCTTGGCCTTTGTTTACGACGAAGCTCCGTCCTCGCAAGCCTTTCCCAGCCATTCTGTAGGAAAATAAATGTCGATGTTTAAACCGTTCGAATAGTGTTGAGCGCGGTGAGAAAATAAAAGAATGCTTGTTGGGACATTGGCATGCGTTAGTTCGTCAATTCAGATTTGACAGTTTCTTAGGAGTTTTACTATACGGGGTAAAAATAAATGTTTTATAAGCGAATAAAAAAATTCAGAAGAAACGAAACAAAAAAAAAAAAGAAACGCGACATTCATCGACGATTCATGCTAAAACGTTAGCCACAAATTTGTTAAACTGACAACTACAGTGGTTTGGGAAGATTTACGCAACCTCAGGATAAATTAACCATTTAAAACTGACGTTATAATATGTGTTACAAAATCAGCATGACATCATATAGGCATTTTTTCCCGTTTAAGGTTTCCCTAACTTTAATCCAGGTTTTTATCTTAACCTTAAAATTAAAACTACATCTAGCTAACGCTAACCCTAAACGTGACTCAATAAATGCCCTAATCGTAATATGGCTCAAGTAACGATTGGATAGAATATATTTAAAACACGATACTGCCCAACATTGACCTATCGGAGGTTTTTTAACAAACCGACTATTGAAAGTATCGGGAGTACTTATCCAGACTTAACGGGGTTCCTGTGGATAGGGGAGGGGGGGGGGGTCAATACAAATATTTTAACTTGAGCATTAAGACTTTACTTGCAAGTTTTTATATAGCCTACATTAAACATGGTGCGACATTCTTAATTAGTGGGGATGTGAATATGTATAATATATATATATATATATATATATATATATATATATATATATATATATATATATATATATATATATATATATATCTGTATCTACGTATCTGTAAAGGACCGTGGCTTGTGTGTTTACTAAGCAGCAAATACAAGACGCTGTCGGGTTTTTAGATATACTAAATTTCCAATTACATGTCTATATGCAAATATTTTGAGAAGATAAATATAACCCTAAACCTAACATTAAACCACAACAACCACAAACATCAACATAAAACATACAAAATGATATGTGCGTCATGTTAGTTTGCTATATATGGGATGCATTAGCTACAGAAGGCATATGTAGACCGTTATGTTCGCTGTACCATGCTCTGATCACTGAAGAAAACGCCATTGATAATCTTCTTAAGGCACTGATGTCACGCACTATTGTTTGATACACAACATGTTTACAAAAACCTCGGTAGCTAGAATTCAAGAAAACTGACACTTTCTTGATGTGGTAAATGGACGCTGAAGACAATACTCACAGTTATAAAACATATGCTTTGTCGTTATGACAATCTAACAATTTAAGAACACATTACTAAATTACTGTCCTCATATCAATAGGAAACTAGCTATGATTGCTAACTCCAAAAATCTCGAGTTCGGATCTCCGGGCTCATGAGGCTCGTAAGATAGGACCGGAACCCGTCTAGGAGAGACAACTCCAAAATCAAACAACTGCTGCTTTTTACTTTTTTCTTGTGTGGGCAAAAGCTATGAAAGCAAATCCTGAAAGAAAAGTAGTCTACAGTCGTCGTCAACAGGACACAAGGCGTTTAACATGTCGACACGAAATAATGAGTTGGGGGAAATTCCCTCCAATATATCAATTAAGAAGGAAGAAGAAGGAAAAAAAGAAAACTCTTGGCATAAGAAAAAGACACTCTGTTAAAAACTTATGTATCGATATTTGGAGTAACCAGTGACGAATGAAACCAACACAAACTAGTGACACCTATATTTTTTAAAAATCCTAATTAAAGACTGAAACCAACACAAAATTTAGACACCTAGATAAAACCACTTATGCTAACCGACGAATAAAACTAACACAAAATATAAACACTTGGATGAAAACCTATCATAATTAACGAATGAAAAAAAAAATATAGACACCTAGATAAAACAACTTATCGGACCTGATGAAATATTTATTAAAACCAAGACAAAATATAGACACCTAGATAAAACAACTTATCCTAACCGACGAATAAAACCAATACAAAACATAGACACCTAGTTAAATACCACTTATCGTACCCGATGAAATAAAACAAAGACAAAATATAGACACCTAAATAAAACAACTTAGCGGGCCTGATGAAAAAAACCAAATAAAACCAAGACAAAACATAGACACCTAGATAAAACAACTTATCCTAACCGACGAATAAAACCAAGACAAAACATAGACACCTAGATAAAACAACTTATATAAATGACGAATAAAACCAAGACAAAATATAGACACCTAGATAAAACAACTTATCCTACCTGATGAAATAAAACCAAAACAAAATATAGACACCTAGATAAAACCACTTATCCTAACCGACGAATAAAACGAACACAAAATATAGATACCTAGATAAAACAACGTATGGTACCCGATGAAATAAAACCAACACAAAACATAGACACCTAGATAAAACAACTTATTTAAGCGACGAATAAAACCAACACAAAATATAGACACCTAGATAAAACAACTTATATAAGCGACGAATAAAATCAACACAAAATATAGACACCTAGTAGATAAAACAACTTATCCTACCTGATGAAATAAAACCAACACAAAATATAGACACCTAGATAAAACCACTCACCATAATGACACCGTAGTCCAACACAGACCACAAAACTTCTACAACCAGTACCCCACTCCCAAGCATCACAAGCATGACATGCCTAATAATACCGTGCCCTGTAACTAAGGACGCTGTCTGCTCCTCCGGTAACCTAGGAACCTGCCGATGCTGAATCTACCATTACTTTTGACAGCGGTCCCCACATCATATTCCCTCAGACCCCTGGGGCGGCATGTAGCAGACGTATAAACAAACAGGCGCCGCGGGACTTTCCCCCTGACATCAACGTTACACGGCCCTCAGATTACTACATTTAGGTGATCGATAGATCGATAGCTTTCGCATCAAGCGGCCGATTGATCAATCATTTTATTAAAGAGTTATTAGCTCAGCAATTTTATAAAGGATGTAAATTTATGCTTCACTGCCCGTGGTAAAATTTGTGAAATCTATTTCAACTTATTGTAGCCATGCTAATTGGATTATCAGATTACGCAATTACTGCTGCGATAACACACACACAAACTTGAAAGTCTCTTAACTTCTGTTAGGTAGTTATGGTTTATCAAATTTACGTAGGGATAGCAGTACAACTGTGTAAGTAAAGTAGAGTTCCCTTTTCAAACCTGACGGTCTATAGGGCAAGTGAAGTAGAGTTCACTTGTTTCTGTGACCTCCGCATATGAAGAGACGTGTACAACTGTGTATCAGACATTATTCGGGGCATCAACGCCCTCCCCCCCCCCCCCACACACACACACTCCACAGAAGAACGTCCAACGACCCCCGCCCCAAAAACTAAAATGAAAAAAAAATATTTGTATACAGAAAATATATACTTTAAAAAAATGCTCCCATACACACATCCCCTAAAAAAATTTCAAGAGACATCCCTTCCGCGGAGAAAAATGTCTGAAAGAAACACTGCTTTATACTGACGCAAGTTAGGTCTTTAACTTCAAAATGGTTACACATTTTATAAACTGAGTAGGCTTACAAAAAAAAGCCAATGCAGTAAGTCGTTGTATGAATGGATCTATATAAATGTTCAAACTTTGGGTATGAATATTTGTTATTGGTTCTATCAAAATTTTGAAGGAAAAAAAATATATTTTTTTTTTACTCTTTAAGTTTCAAAAGAGATCCAGACAACCAGTTAAATTTATAATTTTCTTTTTTAAAAGCTACAAGTAGCATTCTCTTAATGACATTAACTATAAAGACTCGATACGTGCTGTGCGCATAAACAAACTCATGTGCTACACAAGATTAAACACGTTTGAAATCTATTTGTCCAGACTTAATTTTTTAATATTAAATCAGTAATTGCTTATTATTACATTATTTTCCAATAAGATATGCAATGTAAAAAAAATATTTTTAGAATGTTTAATATTAAGTATTAATGTATTAATTTGTACTAGTTACTTCCCATATATAAATTTAAATGGGATACGGACAACAACCTATAACTTTGATCCTAAAATCATTAAAAAATACTAAGAAATTCAACCGTAATATTAATAATAATTGCTTATTAAATAATTTAATGTGAGTTTTAAACTCCTTAATAGACTGTTATCTAATGTATAGAATTTTTAGAATTTAGAATTATTATACCAATCAAATGGAAATAGAAAACTAGTATGTATATTAAAATCTAACATATTAATCAACGATTGTTCCATTTGCTTAGCGTTGGGTTTGCATTTTTCAAATGTATTATGATTGTATTATAAAAAATATTAGACTTATTAAAATTGGAAATAATGTATTTAATGTTTTCACCACCCATTTTATTTTTTAAAAAAAAGTATTATAATTGTAAATCTTTAAAAATAAAAATTAAAAAAAAAATAATTGTAAATCTGTATCAGTCTTTACAAGCCGATGATGAAAACTAATACTAAAGCGAACATACAAGGCTAACTGACGCTGTAAATTACATGTCTGAGGCGAAAAAAAAATATTTTAAAATTGCTAACTACAAAAAATGTTTTAACTACCTCCTATTATCCAATTGTAGTCTTCTTACATCCTTCATGTAATCACTATATACACAATTTTTGAAACTGTATAAAACTACTAAATAAATTATTATTAATATTTTAATTGTTTTAAAGAAATGTAATTTTTTTTAAACCTGAGGGAGGACTGCTATAGATACAGCTGTTTGAAAGGGAAGAATGTTTGATTTGATGTGTCTTATTTTTACTCTACATATTATCCAGACTGTTTATAATATTTAGATATTTTTTCTTTATTCCCAAATTTACTTCAGCTCTAGTTATAAACCCATAACCCATCAACCCACTCCAAAATACCCCTCAATTTTCAAATCGTTGGCGTGCCCCCAGTATCTATATTAAAAAGTGGTTAACGGAAGAAGAGGCCGTCCTACGTGAGCATTTTTAGAAAAGATGTAGGCAGTACATGACCACAAATCTACAACCAGTTGGAAGCCTTCCAAATATAGATATAGAGTAGATTCAGGAGAGAAGAGGAGTACATGACCACAAATCTACAACCAGTACACTGGAGGCCTTCCAAATATAGATATAGAGTAGATTCAGGAGAGAAGAGGAGTACATGACCACAAATCTACAACCAGTACACTGGAGGCCTTCCAAATATAGATATAGAGTAGATTCAGGAGAGGAGTACATGACCACAAATCTACAACCAGTACACTGGAGGCCTTCCATAGATAGATATAGAGTAGATTCAGGAGAGAAGAGGAGTACATGACCACAAATCTACAACCAGTTGGAAGTCTTCCAAAGATAGATATAGAGTAGATTCAGGAGAGGAGTACATGACCACAAATCTACAACCAGTACACTTGAGGCCTTCCATAGATAGATATAGAGTAGATTCAGGAGAGGAGATACGTGTTATTCATACCCTAATACTAGTGGTCTTTCAAAAGTAATGCAGCGTTGGATTATGGCATGGAGAAGGTTTTATCTTTGGCTACTCCAAGAAAAACTATCTTTAAAAAAAAGGCAAACATCTAATTGTACCAAGATTTTTAAGACTCTACTGACTGGCCCATGTATTACACATTGAAATTTTGGACAGGTGGATGACTATACCGTTACCACGCCCGGCACCTTACTGGAAAGACAAGTCTTACGGTCAAGATTTCTATACCTTGAAGACTTATGAAGTGGGTCTGTGATTCTGGCTTGCCATGACGCATAAGAGAGAAATGCTGACAGTATTAACATGCAACTCAGTGTACCCTAATGACCCAATCAAAAGAGAAAAAGTCTACCTCAAGTTCAAAGAACATAGAGCCGAGTGGATTGGGGCTGAATGTAGAAATGTAAAGCCGAACAAACCACCAGAGTTTCTTCCAGGCATCTCTTAGGGGTGGGGGGGGGGTGGGGTGGGGGGGGGGGGCTGGGCATCCCCCTCCCCCGAAGAGTCTACCCCCCCCCCCCCCGAACGAAATAGAATTTATATAGAAAATATATACTTTAGACAGTGTCCGCCCCCCCCCCCCCCGAAAATTTTCGTCCGCCCCCCCCCCCCCCCCAAATAAAAATTTCAAGTGCACCCCCGGAGAAAAAAGTCTGGAAGAAACACTGCAAACCAATGAAAGGATTGTACATTTCTGAATTACCGAAGTCACTAACAGGAAACTGTCAACAAATACTGAAAACCTCAATGTTAATTGGTCTCATAAAAAAAAAGATAATGAGGCCAGACCTTAGTGGAAGATTTTGTAATTGATTAAATTAGTCTTTTTAAAAAATTGTAATAATTCAAAAAATACTAACGGCCAAAAAATAACTAATCAATTTTGAGCGTACACTCCCCTTATCTTAGGACCCGAATAAAAAAGGTCAAAACGTATAGTTTTATCCTTAATCCTACTTACTTACTGTTTTTCTTTCTCTTAATATCTGACGAGGGCTGTAGTTCCCCCCCCCCCTCCGGAAAATATTGACCGCCCCCCCCCCCCGAAAATATCAACTGCCCCCCCCCCCCCCCCTGGTGAAAAAAGTCTGAAAGAAACATTCATCTGACGTCGTCCTGTGGCTAATAAGCGTTAGAATTAGGGCTAACTTTAATCTAATCAATTAACACAATCACGTTTTTTTTAAATATCGATTTTAATAATCCTGTAACTCCCCCTTCCCCCCCCCCCCCCCACCACACACACACACGCACACACACCTACGGACGAAATCAATCACTCTGCCTCGGTGGCACACGATATATCAATACTTCATATCATACCCAAACACTCGGCTTCCATTAGAGGATTAAAAAATAATCTGATCACAGCAAATAATTGATTTTCTTTGTCTGGTTTTCCAATATATCGGTCGTTCCAAATCACATCACAGTTCAAATCAATTTACCATGGTAAAAGGTTCCTGTTCAGATGGCTAGTACTTGCATGTATATATTTTAAATACAATGTAATTAAAATAAAAAAAAATGTCGCATTTTTTTTTAAATCACTCTTACAATTGTTCAGTGATTAGTTAACCAAAATAGACATTTACCAGTTCCGTACATAATATATATATTTTTTTTTTTGGGGGGGGGGGGGGGGGTGGCACATACACACACAAATAGGCCTACTTAAAGTGGAATGTTTGAACACAAAGCGGAGTGCTAATTAAAAATTACGATACGCTGTCAACGTTTTTGTTGATAATAATTGCTCAATGAAAAGACCTCGAATCGATGAACTACCGACCACGCCGAAAATCGAATAACGGAGTTCATTTCGTACAAGTTGTATTGACTGGTAAAAAAATCATTTGATGGGATTTATATGGCTCCAGGTGGGCGGTGTACATGAGGTGTACAGTACAGGTACAGCTCAGCTATGTGTACAACTCGGTCCTTTGTTTACAACATATTTTGTGTGTGTACTGATTCTACCTGTGTTGGTAACGTAAGTTACTGAATGTACCAGTGTCTTACCTTTCAGACTATATTTTTTTGTTCGTTTGCTATATAATTTACGTTGAACTTAGTTGTAGCACTATATTACATAATAAAACAAATGCGTGAAACCATGTACAAATTATATTAAATTTTCTTTCGAATGACCAGCAAAGCACA